TCTGTGTTAAAGTAGATACTTGAGTATACCACAAATGTCACTGGCAGTTAGTTTTAGGTTTGAGCTCCATCGACGGGCTGATTAGTTAAAGATTTTCGGATATTCTTTAGCGTGTCTAAAATCCAGGGATGAGTTTCATCAGTGATGAGTTATAGCTTCGTGAAGCCCAGACTATTATAAAGTGCTCTATGTACAGTGTTGACTTCAGACATTTTTTATTTCGTGAAAGTTTTCTGAGTGAAAGATTTTTCTTTTATAAATAATCGATTTGGGGTCCCTGTTGGTGGGAAACCCAGACAATTGCCCATTTTTTTTTCACAAGAGTTTCCTATAAAAAAATTATTCGAAGAAGCATCCCTTTGCTACGCCGCCTTCGTATTGCATTTCCTTATCCCATTCATCAACGGCGAACAGCCAATGATAATACAGTACAAAAATGAATGAACACAACACCAATATATCTTAAAAAATTAAAAGTTTATTAATTTTAGAATGATTAATCCAAAATGCAATTATTTAATAAATTTCTTTTCGGGAATTTTTAGCAATAAAATTGAATCAATCAGATCATCCAATCGACGATTCATTCGTTGTGGAGCCAATGTTGAATTTTTATAAGGAATTTTGTTTTATGTGGATGTCCGTTTTTCTTTCTTAGATGGCATTTCTCCTACAGAAATCTATTGTCTCGACACCACTTCATAATACTGTCGTAGCATTGGTAGGCGTGGTATCGTGTTGCGCCGGTCTTGCAACGAAGCCAAGTGACGAACTTTTCTTCGTTGCCCTTCAATCATATAAATATAGAATCCTAATCCTAATCCTACAGATATTGTTATCGCTAGGTATCGTTTACGTAATGAATTTTCTAGAGTACCTAGATTATACTCTAGAATTTTCCAATATAAAATATATAATTTATAACAACTTTCTTCTAGAACGTTTTAGAAATTATTAAATATATTTTAATTATTTGACATTAAATATTTCTAAAAATCTTTTAATAAAATTTCATTTTTAACGATGAAAATAAAAAAAATAATTTAAAAATATATATATCGCGACGCCAGAGGGCGCCATTGTTAATGATGACTGTCTTTATTCTCAAAGCAGGTCTTTAGCATCTAACATGGGTTCCAGTTACTGGATGTGGTTGATAGGTCTTCAGCTACTAACAATAGTTTTCCACGTTTTAGCTGGGTAAATCCTTATATTTAAATCAATTAATTTATATTAAAATAAGTTTAAGTCTAATATATATAAATTTTCATTCATTCAGTTACTTCTCAATCATTCTAACTTAGCTTTAATATTAAATGTATTAGAATTTGTCTAATTCATATAATAATAGTGTATAAAATCAAAAATTAAAAGGTTAAATGCTTATTCATTACAGAAATAATCTTTTGCCTGTTGGTCAATGTATATTTATCCTGTTTTACATGTTTATTGTCTGTTATGTTCTTTATTTATGCTGTATGTCATGTGCATCTTTACAACAACACAGACAAACGCCCATTACTTTAATTACATACGTTAGAAGGTAACCGAGGTGCAGTGTCGAAACCGAGATGTCGATATCTACCGGGCGAGGAGTGAAGGGGCTAAAACAGGTTGGACGGATTAGTTGACGATGGTCGCCGATAGTGAAGAAGGTTCGGTTCCCGACCGACTCGTAAGGAAAGACCGAGTGATTTTTTCTGAGCTGTGCTGCCAAGTGTATGTAAACAAAGCAAATGAAACCGATCCCTGGCACGATTTTACACAAAAGAAAGTGCTTTCGGTCGGGTTAAATGGTCGTTGTATGGCCAACTGACCGTAGTTTGTGTGCGGCTGTTAAAAGTAAGGGGATTTCCGTCCACGTATTAAGAAGGGTGACGTAAGAGAGAGACGAAAGCGAGAGGGTTGTAAAATTAAAATTCGTAAATTGACTTCCATGCAGGGGAAGGAATCTACATTGCAAAAGTTTATAGCAGTATTTTTTTTCTTATGGATTTGTAAATTTTTAACTGTTCTAGATATCTAAGGCTATGTAGGAGATGTGTTCAGTTGAAATGTGTATCTATGTGGAGGTTGGAGTGACGGTTGCTAATACAGTGTTAGCTGGTCCTTTCATGATGGAAGTGTATGTATGTCTAATAAATAAAAGAAACACCATCTTTTGGTGTTACTATAATAATTTCATAAAAGCAGCCATGTTAATACTTTTGATACTGTATCGTTGTCATCTTCGGGTGAAGAAAAATGTATATGAAATCTAGATATAAAAGTTATTTTAAAAAATACATCGATATAGTCTTAAAAAGAGCATGTATTCGAATAATCAGACATAAGGAAAATGAAAGAATAAAATCTTAATATGAAAGAATTTTAAACATTATGAACCGAACATCATCATTAAGAATTTATATATAAATTCTTTTTCCGAAGATGACATTGATAGTGTCAAAAATACTAGTACGGCTGCTTTTATGAAATGATTAAAGTACATAATGTCAAAAGACTGTTTCTTTTATTAGTTTTATACATTTTTTTGGCATCGTATGTGTCTCTGCCAATTTTGAAAGAGTATTTAGAGTAAGCATACTTGTACAATATTTAAGATTGGTCACAAACTTTCACTACCAGCAGCTGATTGGAGAATCAAAACAGTGGTGGTGTATACATATAATTTAAAGAATATATGTTAATTTCATTTGCATTCTTTAATTGTGTCCCATGCTTATGAAATGTTCGGAGACATGGAACATAAGTAAAGAACGCAAATGAGTTTATATCCTTTAAATATCAAACCATAATAAAAGAATTTTGAATTGAGCATTTGATTTTATCAGTCACAAATGTTTATTGACAAAATTATTTTGTTCTATTAAGTGTGTACTAGTCATTCTTCAATATCTTACTACATTATACAAAATTACAATTTTTCTTATGTAATTGTATGAAGTTCATATCATAAGAGTAAAAATTAGAATGGTTAATGAAGAGTTAAAACAGTGAGAATTACTATAGAAAGAATAATTTGCTAAGAATAGAGGAGATATTACATGAGGTTTACCATCACTGGTAAAGGATTTTGAAGATACATCTGGCCTCTGCTGTTGTATGGTTACAAAAACTTCAGAGGAAAATCAATGCTGTTGATTGCTGGTTCTACTGCTGCATACTAAAAGATTAGCTGGATAGAAAGATTCCAAATGAAATCTGGAGAAAAACTAAGACTAACCCTTTACTATTGCTTACTTTTGAAGCAAGAAAATTAGCATTTGCTGATCATATTTTAAGAATGTCATCTGGTGAGAATTCTCTCGTAACTTTTGAAGGCTTTGCTGTAAGATACCGAAAAATTGCGAGACCATAGAAAACCTTCTTTAGTGATGTGAAGATTTAAACTGTTATCCCTAAATATCAAAAGCTAAAAAGAATGGCAAAACATAGCAATATGATGCAGAATGGTAACCTAACTTTGCAATAGAGTTAGCATTTTATGATGATGAAACTATTAAAATATCAAAAAAAATATATAATCTGTTGAATTAAATGATTTTCTAAAGCAGGAAAATTCAGTTGGGATTGAATGACTTGTATTGAGTCTGAAAAGTGGAAGTTACTGAAAGCAAAAAAGTAAAGTATATTTTATTAAAAGTGAATTCTGGCGAGATTTGTCTTCCAACTGACGTTTCCAATCAAGAACGAGAATAAGTAGAGCATTTAAAAGAATTAGAGGACGGACAAAATAAATGTCTATGCGTAATTTGAATTAAAAAGACAGACGGTATATTTCACAATATAAAAAGTGTAGAAGAAACTAAATTGTCTTCAAACTTCCATCATGTCCAATCACTAGGAACAAAACAGTCTANTTAAGCCAAAAGCTGTTATTTTTAATTATAATATAAAATAACAGCTTTTGGCTTAATTTGGTCTGCCGTAAGAAAAACAAAAAAGTACTTGGTGGACACTGTGAAAAAATTGTCAGTTTGAGCTCTGATCAGTTTGAGTTGTTATTGAATTTAGTTTCAATAATAAAAAAGATTTCAGCCTATTAAATAGAGAAATGATAGCCAGAGTTGTTTGTACCTATACTTTGAGTCGTAATAAGTAATTTAATTAATCACTGTAAATCTTCCAATAGTAGAAAACTGTGAGCTCTTTGTTTCTTAGAAGCAGTAGACATAAAGCTACAGCTCAGATTTTCATTTACTTTTCCAGTACGTGCTAGTTTATTTGCTCTCCTGAAAACTTTACAAAATGAATTAAACTTATTTTGGGAAAGAGCTCTTCAGTTATGGGTTGTTCCAGAGTTTGCAGCATTTCCTGCAAGGGTGGCAGTTTGATAAGGAAGCAGACATTAACAGGATATTCTGCCTCTGAGACTAAGGACCGATATTGTAGGCAATTCACACTACTAGCTGACATATTGGTAAAAGTTATTCGGTGTAATGGTTTATATTTTGCTGAATAAAGTTTGTTTCCATTCTATATATGGTGTGCTGTTCTAATCATGTATTAAATAGCCAAATCTATGTGACAGCCTAGTATAACATTTCTAATACTTCAATTAACTTTGTTATATGTGACATTTGTAATGTATATGTTGTGGTAGGAAANACTAAACTTATTTTGGGAAAGAGCTCTTCAGTTATGGATTGTTCCAGAGTTCACAGCATTTCCTGCAAGGGTGGCAGTTTGATATGGAAACAGACATTAACAGGATATTCTGAGTTTTTTGCCTCTAAGACGAAGGACTGATATTGTAGGCAAATCACTTTATTAGCTGACATATAGTAAAAGTTATTCGGTATAATGGTTTATGTTTTGCTGAATAAAGTTTGTTTCCATTCTATATATGATGTGTTGTTCTAATCATGTGTTAAATAGCCAAATCTATGGGACAGCCTAGTATAACATTTCTAATACTTCAATTAACTTTGTTATATGTGACATTTGTAATGTATACGTTGTGATAGGAAAGTTCAAATAAAAATATTTCATTTTTATATTTATTTATCTTACTTTTTTTTATAGTTTCTTTGGCGATTTTGCCTTCTTTGGTGGTTCACAACGTTCAGATTCCCAAGAGATTCCAAGAGGAGCTGATCTGGTTATGAATCTCTGGGTAACACTAGAAGAATTATACTCTGGAAATTTTGTTGAGGTAAAGTAAATACTAAAGAAAGTTTTTAGATAGAATTTTCTGTATTTTAATTGCTCTATATGATTATAAAAATTAAGCTTGTTAAGGTTATCTTTTAAAAGTGAATTCAAATTTAGGTTATTAGGAATAAACCAGTAATGAAATCTGCTAGCGGAACCCGAAAATGCAATTGCAGACAAGAGATGGTTACAAGACAGTTAGGACCGGGAAGGTTTCAAATGATGCAACAAACTGTGTGTGATGAGTGTCCTAATGTAAAGTAAGTTTACTTTTTTTTACATTAACTTTTTAAATAAATTCAGAAATTTTATTATTTTAATATTAATTTAATACCATTAAACTATTAATTGTAATTGTCAAAAATAAGTATCAAAGTCAAAATAAATATTTTTTTTATACATGCATAAGGCATATGTGTTAGTCTTATTTAAAAATTATCACACTCCCTTATGCAAATCACTCCTGCTCACATTAGTTTGGCTATGGAAGAGTTACTGTATTTCCTATATCATGTAATGAAAAGTTTTGCAAGAATGGTACATTTAATACAGTAAAATCCACTTACATATCGAAAGTTTGCAAATAAACTAAATTACTATAAACCTAGCAACTATACTAAAGTACACTACTCACACAGTCATAGAAAAAAATATATACTATGACAGACAGAATTACAAGACTAATCACGGACAAAACAATCCGTCACCACAGACCAGACATATTCATTGACAAAATAAACAAACTCACTTTATCATAAACATGGCATTCAAAACATCAACAAACTACAAAATACATACACTGAAAAAATTAGTAAATACTCAGAACATACCCATAACGTAAAGCATCAATAGAAAATGGATAAGGAGGTACTTACTGTGTCTATAATTCTTTCTTGTTGAATGTTGCATGTGCTTTCTTGCACAGGCAACATTCAACATACACAAAAGTCTAGAAACATTAATGTTTTTCAGTAACACATACATCACATTACAGAAAATTGCTATACTAAACATATTAATAGCTTATTCTATAGTTATGCTTAATGCTAATGCTGGACCAATGACCTTTGTCCAGTATAGCATTAGGCAATGCTAAATAAGCAAAGTATTATGCATTTCATCAACAACACAAATTATTATTATTAATCCAAAATATAAATTTTTCTTACTAGACTTGTAAATGAAGAAAGGTTATTAGAAATAGAAGTTGAACCAGGAATGAGGGATGAACAAGAACAGAGATTTGTAGCCGAAGGTGATTATAAGTTTTTTTTATATTTTAAAATGAGATGATATATGAGAGGCTTTTTAACTTATTTTTAAAAATTGTAAATAATCCCTTACTCTTGCAATGTCAAAATCTATTAAGATACTACATACTAATTAAAATCTGAGACTAGATGCATCCACATATCCGCCATTATGAAATTCGAATTGAAAATCTTTAAAGAATAAATATTTTTAATTATAATATAAAATAACAGCTTTTGGCTTAATTTGGTCTGCCGTAAGAAAAACAAAAAAGTACTTGGTGGACACTGTGAAAAAATTGTCAGTTTGAGCTCTGATCAGTTTGAGTTGTTATTGAATTTAGTTTCAATAATAAAAAAGATTTCAGCCTATTAAATAGAGAAATGATAGCCAGAGTTGTTTGTACCTATACTTTGAGTCGTAATAAGTAATTTAATTAATCACTGTAAATCTTCCAATAGTAGAAAACTGTGAGCTCTTTGTTTCTTAGAAGCAGTAGACATAAAGCTACAGCTCAGATTTTCATTTACTTTTCCAAGTAGTGATACAGATTTATCAATTTTTTTTTACTATTGTCTTCTATATAATTACATTGTGAAAGAAAAAAATTATTTAAAATTATCTTTACTAGAATGTAATATATATATATATATTACATTCTAGTAAAGATAATTTTAAATAATTTTTATATTTTTTATATATATATAAACTAATTGCAGTAGATTCTCAACAGTTTGATCAGGAATGACATAATCTAATCTCAAGCAACAAAAACTCCAAGTTTACAGAACATGTATACAGTGAAAAACAGTAATAACATTACATCTGTTATATTATATTAAAAATCACTTTAGTAATGATGATGTATTGTGCTTAAAATACATGATGACACCCCAAGCATCAACCATAACATTTCATAAATGCAAGAAATTGAAAGCCAACATCAGACTTTTAGACGTGCTTACAATTTCATTGTGCCATCTCATCACATGCTTAATTTGAATTACCCAAATATATAAATTTTTACACGTTTCAGTCAAGCATGCGTACAGTACGTCGACTCAAAAGTGGTAGTGTCTAAGACTATGTGGAACTTCAAATTGTTGAGACTCTACTAAAATTAAATTCATCATCTATTAAACTTTATGTATATATAATTTTATTTTTAATAGGAGAACCTCATATTGATGGAGAACCTGGCGATTTAAGGGTTAGGATAAAAACATTACCGTAAGAATGAAATTTATTAAAAAAAAGTCAGTTTTGTACTTTTAGTAATGTGTTGGAAGTATTTTAAAATATTTATTTTTTTAAGGCATTCCATATTTGAAAGAAAAGAAGATGATCTTTATACAAATGTCACAATTTCTTTAACCGATGCACTCAATGGATTCAAGATGGAAATAGTTCATTTAGACGGGCACAAAGTATGTAATTTATTTTTAGTTACTCAAAATTGACAAAAGTAAAAAAATTTTTGTTTCTGTGTTTAGGTGCAAATTTCTCGCGATAAAATTACATGGCCAGGAGCAAGAATAAGGAAGAAGGGAGAAGGAATGCCGAATTACGAAAACAACAATCTTCATGGTACTTTATACATAACATTTGACGTAGATTTTCCCAAGGGGGAATTAGATAATGAAGCGAAAGAAGGTAATAACAAATTACTCTGCTTATTTTTTAACAATTAAATTTGTAATTAATTATGCTAAGTGACCAATGCTCATTTTCAGCCGTGCGTAAGATACTAAATGAAGAATCTAAGACTAAAGTTTATAACGGTCTAAGAGGTTATTAATAGCATTAATATTTAGTACCAATGAGAACAATGTAAAGGGAGGCCAGAATTTCATATTTCTTTGAATTCCTCGATTCAGCCGAAGGTCCGTCGTCCTCCACAACACATTAATTCCACCACATTTAAGTACATTCACCGTCTCGATTACGTATGCAAGAAAGAATCCACATTTTTAACGTTTGATTTTGTACAAGGAACATTTTTATTCTTTTTGTCTCATTACATATTTGTTTTAAAATACAAATGTATGTGTTTGGAAAAAATGCATTTGTAAATTTATTTCACTTCAGTTTGATACAAGTCAAATAAAATTGACAATCCACTCCGTGGTCTCCAAAACCATAATCTTGTGTTCGTTCGGTTACAAAAACATCAAACATTGTTTTGATATTAGCATAACTGCATTTATGCCATTACAAAACTGGCAACCATGGCTTAAAATATTAAATAAAATGATCAGTTATTTAAATCAAAAGAATTGTCATTTATGTTTGTGTACTTTACAAAGTCACTTAAGTTTTTATTTATTCTGTCAAAGCAGAGAATGAACCGATCTATATTAAGGAGCTGCACCTAGCACTTGAGATCTTTAAGTCTAGCATGCAGTTTTTTTTTTTTTTTTTTTTATAATCTTTGAAAGAATAAAATCAATTTTGAAATTAAACATCTTGCTGCCTTTTTTTAAGATAACTAGCAAAATATTTTGGCTAATCTTAATCAGAATTTTACATACTTAAATAATCAAAACTGTGTGCGTGACGTCAGCATATTAAAGTTATGCAGCTAGGCGAACCTGATCTGTATTGGGATTGACAACCATAAATGAGAAATGGAGAACGATGGCTAATTTGCAAGAAGTGTCATTACAAAAATTTACTTCAAATCTCCACAAGTCTACAAACTAATTTTTATGAAATTATAATTAGAATTGAGGTCAGTATCTTTCAAACAAATCTCCCAATAGTATATTTAACTTTATTGATATCATTAAATCTTAATTATATACAGTTAGTCCTATTCGATAGGTAAATTGGCTAGAATGGAGAAACATCCATTATAAATAAGAACTGGATTTATATTCAATTTAGCATGCATAATGCATATTTCAGGATTTTAAAGCTCCAGTAATACTAGAATTTGTAGGTTGAAATAAACACACGCTTGTCTACAAACAAATCTTACATTTATTACATCACACTTTTAGGTGGGGGGATAAAAATGCCATGATAATTTCCATCTCATACGATATCACAAAACATGTTTTGTTTAGGTCAATTTATGAATAAAGTTAAAATTTTATAACTGCTATCTGATCAGTTATTATTGATCAGATTGGTACATTTTACATGTGAAGGATTCTCTATGGCTGGGACTGCAGCAAATACCATAGAGAATCTTCCATAGAACTATGGATGTTTTCAGCATCTTAGAACTCCCAAGTTGCACACGGGTGTATGAGTAGATTGAACTGACTAACACAAGGAACAAGTTCAATCACTTTCCAGTATCTATTGATAAATGAAGAAATGAAAAAGGATAAAACGCGGAATGAGTTTTTGATTTTAATTTAAATATAAGAAATGAATTGAGATGCAGACCTATTTCAAAGGGCATGCGAAGTCGTTTAGTGTTACGATTGTACATGTGGTCATATCAGCGTATACTAAAAATGATTTTAAGATAAATATAACTTTTAAAAACTAACATGTTAAATAATAAAGTTTAGATTTAGTCACAGGGAAGGAGAAACAGAGAGTTTCAAATGGTTCTACAGATAAATACATTGTACATTTTGACATTTTTCAAAAATATTACAAACTAATTCTGGCTACCTGCAAAATGCAGAGACCGACGAAAGGGCGAGATGTGCGATTGTAATTACATCTTAGCTGATTCACATATATCTTTGATCCATAATTGACAGTAGTATCAACAGGAATAAAGGTTTTTTCTGTCCATCTTTAGACTAGAAAAAGACTGTTCCTTACTGTGTTTACAAGACATTAAAGGACAAGCAGTTAACTTGGTTTCCTTTGTTATAGTTACTTCACCGGTCTAAAGTTGCACATTTTTCTTCTATAGCCTTGTACAAATGATGAGAAATGAGTAAAATTAATTTAGTAACTATAGATACTAATGGATTAAACTAATTGAGATGGGTGGTGGTTTGAATTAATGGGCATACAGTACAATAGTAAGGATATAATGCTTTTGCTTTGAGGCTAGTTTTTACTGTTGCAAGATATTTAACCGACATTACAACTGTTAAGTTGCGGGGTGGCAGACAGAATTGCAGCTTGTGTTCCCAGCATTGTTGCTGGGGTGTACGTGTTAACGAGTCCATTACTTTAATGGGGGAAATGGTAAAGCCTCGTTACCATAGTAACCTTTGTTCTCAATTGATATCGTAAACGCTACTAAATTTAGTTTCAGTGTACCAGAACTATCATTAGTAGCTATTTTGGCTCATTTTGACACTGTTGCATCAATGTAGACATTTCAATATGCCAAGATGCTCTAAACAATGTTTTTTTTTTAGCAGAAACAGGTGTCAGAAAATTCTTTATATGAATCATCCAATTTAAACATTTAGGACCCAAACTCTATGTACTATGAAATTAGCATTAATTTTTGCTATTTTATCCACATCGTCGGTTGAATCAAGCTCTACTGCTCCACTCTTAGAAGTTTGACTTATTCTACTTACGAGAAATAATCATCATCGAAAGATTTAATGAGTGTAGTAATTAATTAAAAAATTGTGCATTATTAAACTAATAAAAATAACATTTACATAATTTTTAATCCAATTATTTCAAATAATTGGATTAAATGCAAAAAGTGAACTGTTTCCACAACAATCGAATTTTGCATGCTTATCTGTGAGGGATGGCACAGTGATGTTTCTTGTGTAAACTATACATGCTAAAAGATTTGCTGCACAAATAGTAAAAATGGAGTTAAATCATTTGTAATAATTGCAGATGCTAATTTTTCAAACAAGCTACATAGTTTATAAACCAGACAAACCGTTTTATAAAAGGCATGCGGATTTAAGTCTGGACGTGCAAATATATTTTCAATGTAACTTCCAAATTCTGATATTTACACAAATACAATGTAGTATCTGTCAATCCTAGCACATTGTTTTGGATGACTTGGATTCAATTTTTACCAAATAAACTGTCTCTTTTAACATCTCCCAGATGTAATTAAAGGAATTAAGACCAGAAAAGTGAAGGGAACCATATCAAAAATGTCATTTATTAAAAATGTGTGTTCAGGTTTTATGCGCACACTGTATATTATATTTAAAAAACAGTCCTTAATTTTTTTTTTACTAAAAGATTGAGAAAATTTTTAGAGCTTCCTTTCGATTGTAATAAAAATTAATATAATTTCATGGTATTTGATCAAAAGAGCCCCATAAAAGCATTAAGATGAATATTTTGTGGGGTTCTTCGGTTCCTTTTTATTAATTTTTCGCAATCTCTGTTCATTCGCAACCGTACAAATATTTGTAGAGTACGTTTTTGTTTGATAATGTTTTCCAGCAAGGCATGTAATATGAAATTAAATCTTTTAGATCAAATCTATTCTAAAATATGTTTGATTTTAACCATTATGCAGAAGTTTGTTCTGACCACTGTAAAAGTCGCGAAGATTCTGAATGGATTCCGACTCCAACGAGAATTACTTCTTGGCAATCCGGCTCCTCGGGAAGGTTGAATGCTAGATGGAACAATTATTCCAAGCGCTCCATTGGAAATGTCTAAGTTTTTCGTTTGAAGAATTAGCAGTTATGATTCAATGTGTACAAATAAATGTAGATAAAAGAAATGTAAAAACAGGACACGCATTATTTACCTTTTTCAAAATTCAAAGACTATTTTACTTTGTAATTTCAATTAAAAAAAAATTTTATTTTTCAAATATTAGCATGGCAACACTACAAAACACATGCTACCGTCTAGAAATGGGCAGTAGTTAACTACACTAGAGTTCTTATGTCATCATTACATTTAACATAAGTCATTAAAGTTGTTAAATGTAATGGTGACACAAAAACTTGGTAAATATAGAAAAGCTAGAAGCTTTAGATAAATTAGTTAACTGCATGTTTAGAAATATAATTAGAATAGTCAAAACTAATTTACTAATATTGTCTTGATATGCACTCTAATAATGCAATAGATTAAGCCAATATTATAGTAAATTAAGAAGATTGATTGAAATTATACAAAGATTAAGGTTTGGTGTAAAGTCATCAAGTACAGTTTGGCATTTTTACTTGTTTTCGACGATTATAGCATTTGAAATTTTTATATTGCCACACGCGTAAGGAAATGCATGGGTTGTTATGTAATTAGTGCCAGTTATTATTAAAATATTCTTTCTAATGAATTTCCTGGAGTGAGACTGGAAGGATTATCCATAATGTAAATATGTACTATACATTGGCCGTCCAGTCAACTATATACAATCTTACGGTACTACTTATGACGGTCTTTAGAACTAGTTAGTTGCCGTCATTGGCAGCAAATAACGGATTCTGAAGGCCATTGTTAGTATTGCCTTAAGGCTGGCCATCCAGTCAAACGTCTAAAACCAAATGGCAACATAGTTAGTTACAATATTACACTTGAACGATTGTACACGCTCCTGAAGAGATTTAAATATAAACACGCCGAAGTGGACAACTTATCGAGCAGAGGCAGAACCGAAAGTGGCATATTGACAGACACTTTTGGCACAATATAAAATAGGCTGCAATTTTTGCTTATCGTAAAAATAAATTGACTTATTGATAATTTTACTTCTCTGTGCCAAATAATTCAATGCCAATCAATAGAAGTTCATACTTTGTGAGAATGGAAGAGAGAACAGATTTTCTCTTCGCATAAGCATTCGTACATTTTTCTTTGTTTTATACTAAGTTTAAATTATGATGGATTGGACGCACTTTTATTCACGATGTGTTTTTAATAAATTTGTAATATTCTTCCTTCTCTAACTGATAAGAAATCGATTCCAAAATACATTTGCTATTTTATGAAGTTTTGTATGTTACGTTTGAATAAATATTAATTTAAGTGTCAATAAATATTTGCTTTATTGATTTTCTTAACAATACAAACAAGTGTGGTTTATGAAGTAGGAAAAGATAAGAGCTCTTCCATAAACCAAAATAGAACAGAAATATGTCACAAGTAATGCACACTAAAGCAATTAGTGTAATTTTTTTCCTCTTCCATTTTCATGAAATATGAACTAGTCTTTATTAAACAGAAAATAATTTCTATTGTGATGAATGTCTGTTGTGGAAAAATAGAACTCAAATACGTATGATCAAACTTCAATATAGTGCCAACGATTACTTGCAAATATATCTTATTCACAAAATATTAGAGAATACTCTCTAATATCCATAAACTACTAAATGCATGGTTTTGTATTAAAAGCACATTAAAAGTGATATGGTTTGCCAGTAACAAACTCAAATTTACATCCACGATAACAAAGAGTAAATACGAATTAATACTGTCAACGTCCTCTAGTAGCAATTTTGGAGATGAAAAAATGGTATGGCACTAAATTGAAGTACACTGATGTGAATTGAAATGTGTGTATAAATTAAAAGAAACTAGAAAACTGGAGAACCAAACCGAATATAAAACAATTAAATGTTTGCATAAAAATACCCGGTATGTTAAGTGAGGAAATTTATTTATAAAATAAACAATACTATCGATTATTTAAATAATTGAAACAATTTTGTGTAACGTAGGTACAAAAACCTAAATTATTGGACGTTCTATAAAATTTAATAAAGTTCTAATCGGGGACTCGCGACATCTCGAAACAATCATTTTCGTTTATTTACATTATATGAAATATTACACATTATAATAATTAACCACAGCTCCTATAATAATCGAATAGTTACACCACATGGTCAACCCAATTTTCACACTTCGTTTACGTCGACCAGAGGATTACTGTTGATGGCAGTCTGCGTTCCCGTCGTGTGGGTCTGCGGATGGATGGTTTGTGTGGCAGTCGAAAGCATGCTCGGGACCTGAGATGTCTGCTGAACGGATTCTCCGGGAGAACTTGTAGTCTGACCCACTGGAGGGTTTTCCAACAAGATCTGTTCTTTGTCTAAAGGAGTTCTGGTAGAAAGAAAAATATTCAATTCTAAGAAATATTATGCAGTCGGCAATATAAAATTCAGTCTTTGAAGATGTTCAATTTTTAGTAGCACATTAGGATAAAAATGAAAATCTACCCGTAACAATCACAAATTGCCTCTGTTCAAAATTTACTTTAAAAATCCCAAACCGACCTTAGAATGTTTGACTTTTATTTCATTGCATCAATATATATTTTATAATCTAAAAATAGAAGAAAATCAAAAATATACGCCAGTATTTTAATTAAAAAAAGATCTTACACTGTTAAATATATTCAATGTTCCAGAAATTGGTATACATTAAGAATATAAGTTCAATACAATGTGTACTTTGCGCTCGGTTTGTTTTGTGTGTTAAATTTAAGACATTCTGTGTATTTATATCAGAATGAAGTATAGTAACTAAGAAAGACATTAGTATTTCTGCAAATATTGTTTCATACTTCAGAACATACAGTAGATGCAGAATATCTTCCATACATTCTAAAAAATAAATTTGTTTCAAAATTTGCACACCACACATTCTAATGCTGGCTCTCTACTTAGTGTGATTTTGAAGCAATTCAATCACCTCTGTTACTGTTCATGGCATTAAATCGCCTTCTGTTAGAATCGCAGAATACTTTCTCAATAGAGTACTAGGACGATGTATATTTTTGAGTGAAGATTCTGTTGCAGCCAATTGGCATGCAGCATCCATAATTCCAAGTGTATGTGACAGCATATTTTTTGCTACTACCCTTAGCACTACATATAGTGGGATGTGGAAATTTCAAAAAGGTGCAAAAAAAATAGTAAATTCAGTAGCCCTTCATTATATCGTGCTTTATTTTTGTCCCCAAATTTTATAAGCACTCGATTCAATAAATTTTAAATTACCAATTGCCATTGAATTTCTTTTTGCAACAAAATATGGTCTTTTATTCCTACCATTGTCCTCGAAGCTACCACTGCAGGTGAAACAATAAATTCATTGAGATCTAAATAATTGATCCATCCTCCTGTTTTGCTTATCATTTGTTTCCTTTTGATATCAAAAGTTTATTTATTGATTTTTAGTACTGTCTCCTCATTTACAAGTTTCTATGAAATTTTGAATGGTGGTATGGCTGTTTACTTAAAGGTCAATTAATACCATATAACCACAAATAAAATTCACTATTGTAAAACTAAGCTATCAGAAATAATTGCTAATGAAAGAACAGAGGATAGAGATTCGATATAATGTATAATCTGTTTAGTAAAGCCCAGAATTTTTATTATATCATGCCTTTCCTTTGTCTCCTGACAAGTGCGATATAATGAGGGGTTACTGTACAAGATTTTAAAAATTAAATTGAAAAATAGCAAAACTTTCGACTTAAAATAAAGTTTTATGTCATTTTAAAACATTCCCATAATTCATTGCCAATTGCGCAAAGTGTGTAGGCACAAAGTGTGTTTAGGCACAATTGTGATGTTAAGTGAAGAGCCAGTATAAAGAACATGTTTTTACTGTTTTGTCCATCATGTGTGTTCAGTAGTTTTAAGTCTAAAAATTTTAGAAAAGTATTAATGAAGATAATTAGAAAAATATCAGCTGTTTTGAACAATTTAGAACAATAAGCTGTTTAGAAAAATATCAGCTGTTATAAAAACAACTTTTGATAAAATAAAATTGCATACAGATTTTACAGACTAATTCTAACTGTAATTAGCTACTGAAAAAAATGTATAGATAATGATTACTTACGCTGGTCGACAGATACAGAGACAGCCTCTGTTTGTTCCATAAATAAGACCTTGACCAGGCTGAGGTAGCCATCGGACAGAATTCAAACTCACTTGTAGTTGCTGGCCAAGACCTTGCTGACTGAGATTGCGTACATGCTGTAATTATATAGTGTAAATTACATTAATAATGAGATACTCAACAATATTAAATAAAATATTATGATAACATTATATCAAACATTGAACCATGAATTTGGAAAAGAATGCATAATTAAATCATGAGGTAAACATATATAATGAGCAGAAATTACAGTCTGTTTTACAAATAAAATTTATTTTACTTATTAAATAATTTTAGAATAAAGATAAATTTATTACAAAATAGTAATACAATCTAATGATTAGAAATTAATTAATTAATTAGTAAATAAATAGAGAAATTTGGAAGAAATGACAGATCTAGAGCAGAACTTGAACTCTCTATCAGACAAATATTTTATTAGCTACGCTATCCACATTTCTCCTTTGGATGTATGTGTAATTTAAAATTATAACACAACTGTATGGATAAACTTATCTCTACATTTCTTTCAGTTAAAAAATTTATTAAAAATTTTCTCGGCAGATGGTAATTTAGATTAAAATTAAAATTGAAGACTAAGAAGAAGCATTTGAATGTATGAAAGTCAGAGAAAAAGAAATTTTTATCTTGTAACATTCTCATTCATTATACCTTAAATAAAGATTTGTGCTATTGTAAGTAAGAAATTTGAATCAAAATCAATGACTATAAGAAAATAAATTTTTAAAATTTGACTAATTCTTTGTATTTGACTCGCATCCCTACAATCCACAAGCTAAAATGACCCAGAATATTTTAGGTCTAGCACGAGCCCTGATTCGGCAGCTCAATATTATCATTCTTTTTTAATCGGCTCTCATTAGTTTATTCTATTTAAATCCCGGAACACCAAGACATGCAGCCTGATTTTTCATTTTGGTGTTAAAAAACTTCTGATTTGCATCACTGTATGCAAAAATTTTTCCAAAAATGAAATTTTGTTCCAGAGACTAGTAAATTCTTCAATTTTTAAAGGTTAACAGGAAATTTTGGAACAACAAAAAACCAAAAAGTAAGCTATCGATAAAAACTGCATTTAGTCATTATTAATCCTTAAATTTTTACTTACTGTCAAAACTGCTTTAAAGGTCACTTTCAGAGCACATAAATGGCCTCTAGATAAAAGTGATCTTTCAATTACAAGAGCAACTAATTTTTATTTGTCACTAAAACCTTACAAAAACTCCATTATTTATTTAAATTGTTAATCTTTGCTTAACCTTTTCTAAAATTTAAGATAATTAGATCCAAGTGTTTTGAAATAATAGAATTCAACAAGTAAAAACCTAAATCCTTCCTAAAGTAAAAATCTAAAACCTTTTGTAATCAAAAAAGTTTATTGTATTAATTTACACAATATGTTATATGTTTTTTCATAATAAATCCTGTCAACATTACTTAAGAAACTTACTTACCAATAATGTATTGCATTTATTATTTGATTCTAATTTAAATATCTGAGCAACCGTCTGTAAAAAAAAAAGTAATAATAATAAATTTAACTACAATCTTTAATTAATCTTATAATATAGAAAATTCTAGAAATAATCAAATCATATTGCCTGAATAATAATTATTCAGCCATGTCATTTGATTATTTATTATGCCTAGTTCTTGACTAATAATTATCATCGGGCTAGTATATTAATAATAATCATATAATTTATTTTTAATTTTTAAATTTAATACAAGCCTAATTAACTATCTTTGGTCCAAATTTCATAATATTTGTATAGTTCATTATAAAAGAATATATAAACATTTATAAAATAAGATTTAAATATATACTTTTAATTCCAGAAACTTTAAATCAATCAACAAGAAATAAAATATGAAACACACAAAAATGTCTTACGACTAGCTATAGATCATACTTTGTACAAAAAATTTACATACTTAATAAAAATTTTAAGCATTATGGAATGACAATAAACACAATTTCTATTTTGTTCCGATAATAATTAAAGAAAATCTTACTTCTCGTTCCGCAGATGATAAATAGAGACGAGAGGAACCTAATCCAACTATGATGTATCTACCGAGAGGAGATAAACTGACCGAGATAACGGTCGGTCCAAATTTCCACGTGTATAAACACTGACCCAAACTATGAGACTGAAGTGAATATATAGATAATGTAACGGCATGCCTCAGTCCGTTAGTTGTAGGAATGAGAGCGGCCAGAAGCTGTCCATCGCGTGAAATGTCTACGCTTGCATCGTTATGTATTTTACACTTTGGTACGACCACATTCCAATTAGCTGAAAATATAAATAATTTATTTGTAGATTTTTTAATCTATTTATTAAAATAAGCTGATAAAACAATCAAAAGTAAACATGTAGATTACGAAACAAATACTAAGTTTTGCATAATTTTTAATTAATAATAATTGTATTCTTTTTATCAAGGACTGTTTGAAAATGTAAAGGTACTGTACTTAACTATAGAAAAATTGAGTTGGACAGTTAATGTATCTGTATCAAGCAGCTTAGTTGTATGCCATCTTTAGTAGAAAATATAGCAAGCGGGCTATTAATTTATCAAATATAAAATTTGTTTTAATTACTGTATGTCTGAATGTCTTGAAAATTAGAATGATGTCTAACTAGCATAACCAGTAATGTGCCCCTCCATTCCTTAAGAAATGCAGGATTTTTTATTCACATTTTTTGAAATTCTTCATAAAATTACTTCTATAATGAATTTCAAGCCTTTTATCTTAAAAAGAAAATGAAACACAAATTAAATTACTTAGTCACACTGTTTACATTTGAGTTCCAATCCAAATCATACCTTTCTATCAGCATTTTCTATCATACAGTCGACCCCCCTATAATTACGATTCCTATAAAACTACGAAAAAATTGCTACCGGTATCCGTAAAAAATAGTAAAAGTTCCCTATAAACACCTCAAACGTCATCGGGCAGCCGAACTACTTTCCCGCCGTCCGTAGCGCCACGCTACGGAGAGATTTCTATCGTCTGGACAGTATTATATAAATTATATATAAATTAGGTACTGTACATATAATTATATATTAATTATATATAAATTAGGTACTGTATATATAATTATATATTAACTTATTGTAACTTTGTTATAATTAAATATATAATTTCCGCCGTCTAGCGTGGCGCCACGCTACGGAGATTTTTACGCTAACTATCGTCTGTCAGTATGTAAATTAGGTACCGTAAGTCTAATACAGTACTGTAATTTTATACATTTCTTGTGAAAGAAACATTTCTTATTCAACGGCGATTAAAATTATTTATATTAATGATGTCTCCGAAGTTCTACGAAGTTTTCACAGAAAAATAAGTTGTTAGAAATCGGCCGCTCTTTGCTGAGCTGTTCCGCGACGAAAACAATGTTGAGCAATGGCAATGTCGAATGGTGACACTCGGTAAGTAATCCTACAATTTTTTGTTTATAGCGTAGTTTATACGGATTATTCCCAAAAAATATATACGTGTTTTGGAAATGTTGAGTCGGATTAGTCTAGAATCGATTAATTTTATGGAAGAAAATCTTTCAAACAGCCGTAGTCCGTAAACTTGACACGTGTCGGGTTGTGATTGGAAGGATTCGTAAGAAAGCGGATTCCTAGAGAATGGAACGTATCTCTATCTTATAGGGGGGGTCGACTGTATTTAATTAAACTAAACATTAATTTCTAATTATTAATGTTTATATAAGATGGTGGGGATACTTCCTATGTTTAGCCAAATTCTAACATTAATGATTTAATTATAAAATTAGTGTTAATGTAGTGTAAATAATCTGGTAGTTTCAGTTTAAGTCCAATAATGAGATCTGGTATTATATATATATCAAATTCATTTTACATCTTGGTTAATATGCAGAAATTTTTCGTTTATGAACAACTGATCTGTAAGTAATTATAAAATATTCATCAATTAAAATATGTTTTCAATTTAAAGCTAATTTTCAATAGTTATGGGGGTCTTCCTCCCATAAGATAACTGCTTTTCAGTTGCTTTTTCACCAATTATTAGATATTCGACAATTATCAAAATGCATTTTATAGAATGTCAGAACGACTTTTAGAAGAAACGGTGTTACGAAATATTTTATTATTCTGTATTACATTCAAATTTATAGTGTACAAATCATTTTACAATTCTTGGCTATGGGTTACATATTGTCCAAATGGGGCTCTGGACTATTTAAACAGACTATGCACCAGTGATCATATAAATTGTACCCTTCACATACCACATACGCTCATCCTTGCTACTGTACCTCACAGCAACCCTACCAAGATTCATGGACCCTACTCTTAATAAGATTTGTGGTTATTCTTTTTCACTAAATGATTTTAACAAATACAGATTTAAATTCTTATCAGTTGTTTAAAGAATTAATTTTTAAGATATTCTACACTTTACTTACCATTGCGAATGCAAGGCATCTGACATTTCGAGAAATCCCACGATTGAATTCGATGAGTGATATGATGGGCAGTTTCGTGTATTCCAATAAATGATCCTTAAAATCAAAAATAAATAAATAAGTTTAGAATATTAATTCACTTTATTTTTAAATTTTATTAAGTGGCTTATCATTTTATTAACAACATTCTCTTTTTAATGATTTGCAAAAAATATCAAATTTTAATCAATTTATACCCAAGTAATTTGACTCTTGCAAAAAGTTAATTTAACACATTATGTGTGATAAATTGTATGTTGAAATGTTCGCTTTAAAACACAAAAGATCCTTATTACTTTCTAACTCTAAGAGCCAATTAGATTAAATAGCAAGATATCTACTGTATGCTGAAAAATTTAATAATAATGCTCTCCGACGACAAGTTTTTCACCTTGCAAATATTTTAAAAATTTTGTAAATCTAATCAAAAATTCTTTAATAGTTTATATTTCTACTAACATACTACCAGAGATATATTCTTGACATGTCTTCACAGAATTAAACAAAAACAAAATTAATGTGTATTAATTGTAATCAACACCACCATAATGTAAAAAAATATTTTAGCAGCTTTTAAATAATAATTAAAATGTTACAACACTAGTTTTGTTAATATGTTACGAACATATTTTCTTCAATTTTCCAAAATGGAATGTATCAAATGCTATTAATTGAATATTTTTTAAATCCAAACATCTTTGTCTTACTTCGAATGTAGTTCTTTCTTAACGTATCCTATACATAGCCGTTGATACTGCATGGTCGAGTCTGCATTGTTTAAGAAAGATAAATTGTTTTTTCATCTTCAACTTGACGGTGCACTTTATTACCGATTTGCCAACTGACGGACCAAAATGCTGTACAAAAATTGATGACGAATTGTACATACCATCAGGTTGCCGAAAACTAAGAAATCAATTTTTCTTTCTCAAACAATGCAGACTCAATCAAACAGTAGTAATGGCTACATATAGGATATATTAAGAAAGAACTATATTCAAAGTGAATGTAAAGATAAAGGCATTTTAAATTTCATTAATAGAACTTTATACATTCCATTTTGAAAACTTGAAGCTAAGAAGTTTTTATAAAAAAAAAAATTTTTCTTCAGAATTAAAACAATTTGGCTTCCTGAATTATGCAGCAAAATTATCACCACAAAATGAACAATTTTTCAATGGAGATAATAATGCTACATAACTAGTATTTATTAGTTAATTGTTTAATGGTATCTAATTTTCTTTTCTATGATTCCTGCCCTTTAATTACAGTTTAATACATCTGAGAATAATACTAAAGTTACATATAGTTATATATGACCAAAAGATCTATTTTTATCGTTGATATAAATTGATAAAACAATTATAAATAAATTAAAATAAAATAGTTTGATAATGTACTCTTATCTCAAATAACTACACTTAAAAATTAAATATTTGGCTGAAGCTGAAATGAAACTGATTAGGACCTTGGCTCCAAAGCCCCTAATGGAAGGAATCCATAATGGTATGATTAAAAAAATTGCCTTCTTAGTGCCCACAGACAGAAAAAGTTAAAAAAAACTTAATTTGAGAATTTTATTTTGATAAAATTTTCATAAAAAAAGGCAATAAACTTTTCCCCCACATTTAAGATTTTAACTGAGCTAACCTTAACACTATATACTATACATTAGTATTATAGGATGTATTTGGCATAAGCTTTTGAATTGGAATTATGTAGATTCAAGATTTCTACAATATTAAAAAGTCTGTTAACTGCTTGAGGTCTTTTTAAGCATTTGGTTACATCTGTAGCAAAAATAAAAACCAAACTAGTGAAACAAGTACAGTAGAATCAACTTATTGTAAACATGGATATTGTTGTTGTTCATCTAATATCAGAATTATCGTATCCCAAATGTAAAGTTAAATTATAAAACAGTGTAATTGGAGTTTCGGTTATCATTATCCTTGATTAAATAGGCATTTTTAAGCCTTCTTTTCACTCTATTAACATTTAATCATTATCAGTTATTATTGTATCAATCTTAACTAGTGCTTAAACATTTAACATTTATAGCAGGGGTGTCCAACCCGCGGCCCAAGGCAAGTTTCAATGCGGCCCAATAAACATGTAAACCAGGGGTGGCCAACATGCGGCCCGCCGGGAGTCGTGTTGCGGCCCGCGGAGCTAGGTCAAATGAACATAAATGTTAACTTTATTGTAATATCACCAAATGAACATTAGAAGAGTTAAGAAGGTTTGGAAGAGTTCTATGAAACGTATTTGGACAAGGATAAATATCTTGCGTTTTACAATCATGCTCTGTCAATGGTTACGCTATTTGGAAACACGTATGCGTGTGAACAACTTTTTAGTCGCATGAAGTATATCAAATCACAAGTGAGAACACGAATTACTGATGTTCATTTGGAAAACTGTTTGCGTGTAGCGACAACATCAGTCCAGGTCAATTTTGATGCACTTACTTGTTAGTTCTGTAAAACAAAGTCAAATTTTTAAATTGTCTAATAAATATGTTTCTCGGTTATTAAATAAATGATTCTCGGTTATGTTTTATTTTCTTCAAAAAAATAAATATACCTATTTTTTGTGTTTTTTTTACATTAAATCAGGCAAGTGTTTGACCACGATCTCACCTACTGGAAAGCAACGACGTGGATGAAAGTGTAGCACGCTTGCTTGTTTACTTTAATTAAAAAAAAATTAGGTGCGTGGCCCGGCAGGAAATATTATTTTTGAAATTTGGCCCTCCTGCTAAAAAGGTTGGCCACCCCTGGTGTAAACAAAACTGACAAAATGTTTTAATTTTTTTTATTATTTATCTATTTCAACGGCATAAACTCAAAAAAGGAGTTTCACAAAGCCATAAACCTTTATTCGTATTTTATTCTTGAATGGAAAAGAAATATTTTCAAATACTTGGAAATGTGTGAATGAGGAAGGCTTACTAAATAAAGCTGGAGTTGTGACTCAAAGGATTATAGATCCAAATTTGGGAAAAGGAGGGAAAGATGAGAAAAACAAAAGATGTAGTAGTGAGAAAGGTTAAATAGATCTTCTGTTGACCCTTAATTTTCCAACCTTTCTCACTATTTTATCTTTTGTCCTTTCTCTCCTTTCCTTGCACTTGGGTTTATAATCCTTTGATTCACAACTCCAGCTTTATTTAGTATTTTTTCCAACGTTGCAAGATTTGGCTACATTGCGCCAAATGTGGCTATTTTTTTTGTTTGACGTAAAAAATATCATTTGGCGCTTTGGCTACTTTTGGGCTACATATTATTTATATTAGTTGAATAAAAATGCACTTTAAAATGGTATTTCGTTGCTTATTATTAATTAGAGACTCAAATAAAACAAATATTTGTGTTTTTCAAATAAATTTTTGTCTCCTTCATAATAAATGGATTTATCTATTTCTAAGTAAAAATTGAAAGTGTTTGTAGAAGCAATTTTTAAAATATCCTTTTTCTTGATAAAGTTTTAATACTTATTATTATAATCTAGACATGTTAATCCTTAAATACACTCGTATATTGAACCACAAGTATATATTATATGTACAGTACTTGTGGCCAGTGGCGTAGCGCGGGTGTCAGTCGCCCGGGGCGGAGGAAAATTTCACCGCCCCCTTATTTAGGTATCTCAATTTAAAAGACTAAAATTCAGTTTTGTCACATCATAAGTAATGAAAAATTCCGTGCTAGTGTTGCCACCTTTTTAAAATCGTCGACCCGGACGGCAGGTGAGGTTTGTTCGAACAGAATTCCTGACGCATGCGTATATCATTTTGCGATGCGAAGAATAATTTGCAGTGCATGCCGGTTCTAAATCAGTTACAGTTAGCGACTAGGGAGACTTGGATAGGAGTAACGCAAGTGACCTAGCTCTATTGGACATTGGAGGTGTATATGATTACAAATGAATCGCACAATCAAAGAAAGAAAAAACAAAAAACAAAAATAAAAAAAGGTCAACAGGTTGCACACGATATCCCCGGACGGCGAGTCGATTCGCGGACTATCCAGATGGATGGTAACACTATTGCCGTGCTCATTTCAATCAGTCCAAGTCGTAGGTGGACGAAAATATGAGATAAAATGATTCAAATTCTTACAAGATATTATTATTATTTATAGTGAAATTTTGTCGCCCCCTAAAAAATGCCGCCCCTGCCGCCCCCCTACGCCACGCTACTGCTGGTGGCCCAAAACTCCTTGACTTCTTCTAATGCGGCCCAGAGAAACAAAAAGGTTAGACACCCCTGATTTATAGCATTAATCATTATTTGTTTGTAGTTATATTTAATAATTGACTACATCAAGGTTGCAAAGAAAAACGGGAATCACACTCTCTTGGTGGCTATAGATTTTAAGGGTGCCTTCGACCATGTCTGGTGGCCAGAGGTACTATACCAGCTCAGCAACTCCAACTGTCCAGGTAACCTATACAGGATCCTCCGCAGCTATCTGGAGGATTGGAGTGCAGCCATCTACAACAATGGCACTCTAATCTATGGGAGGTCTATCAACAGGGGGTATCCACAGGGCTCCAAATCGGGGCCTTTTCTGTGGAACACTCTTTACAACAGCCTTCTACAGTTGCAAGAGGAGTCACCGTACAACAATGACCCAAGGGTATGCCGACAATATGGTTATTGTCATGTCACACCCGAATCAAGGGAAGCTCCAAGACAATATGAACCAAATTTTATCAAAAGTGCATCAGTGGAGTGAGCATGTAAACCGACTCATAAACTACAGTAAATGTAAAAGTATGGTCTTCCCCAAGGTGAACCCCCTTAGCAAAGGCCCCTCGATCCGGATCAATGGGCATAGAATCGGGAACACCTCGTCCATTAAGTACCTGGGCTTATCATAGATCATAAATTACTTTGGAATGAGCATATCCATTACATCTACAGAAAAGCCACAGCAGTCTCCAGTGCCCTGGCTACCATCTGCAGGAAAAAATGGGGGCTTAAGTACAAAGCAAGGAAAACAACGTATATCACCGTCACTCAGGAGATAGCCACCTACGGCTGTGAAGTCTGGGGGCACTGCACGAACAGGGTTCATACCCGGAGGAAGCTCCTCTCCTTGCAAAGGCTCTCTGCTTTGTACATTGCCAGGGCATACAAAACGGCCCCTACAGACAGTCTTCTTGTCATCTCAAACCTACTCCTCATTGACCTTTATATCCAGGAAAGGTACTTGAGGCATAACATGAAGCGCCTCCTTTATAACGAAATCACCATTAATCAGTTTCATACCAAGATAAATCATCTAGTGGATGGGGACACCATTGGTGATCTGGCCAAATACCTCCTTGCGAAAGGGCTAGACAAAATTGATAGCAGCAGCCTGATTCACCCAGCATTGGGTCTCAGCTGTGATATCTTGATGAATGGTACTATCCCTCTCCCTTCTGGGCTCCATATCTACATGGATGGGTCCCGGCCAATTAGTGGGACTGGGGGATCATTTGTAGTGTATGGAAGGGCAGAGGAAATCCTTCACCAGCATTACTTTAAAATGGACGAACATTGCACTAATAACCAGGCAGCATCCTTGGCTATTTTAAGGGCCCTGCACTACATTAAGAAGGAACAAAGAACCTTTAAGAACAAGGCTGTATACATTTTCACTGATAGCAAGGTAGCCCTGCACCAGATACAAAATCTTAATGTCAACCTCCCCATTATAAAAGACACTATCAACGTCCTCAATGAATCCATTGTTATCACCCTCGCCTGCACTAAAGGGCACTCAGGCAACAGGGGGAACGATCATGTGGACTTCCTTGCCAAAAAGGCTACAAGTAACCTTGATACCAGCGCATACTCAAAAGTGCCTTACAGTTGGATGGCAAATCAGCTGCTCAGCTATATTCACCAACAATGGCAAAGAAACTGGGACAGCAGCTGCACTGGGAGGACTACCTACTGCTTCCTTCCTTTGCTTGCAAACAGGGCGAAGTTTTCCCACTTCACCTCCTCCTATGAACACACGCAAATCATGACGAGCCACAGAAACTTTAAAGGTTATCTGGCCCGTTTTCTCGGCAAAGGGAATGGGCAATGCCATTGCTCGCTTAATGAATGGGACGACAGTGACCACATGCTGTTCCGCTGCCCTCTGTACGAGAACAAACGAAGACAACTGATACAAGCTGTGATGCAGGAGAATGAAGTGTGGCCATGTCCAGCAAGTCTTCTTCTCAGCAACAAAGACATTTTCACAAAATTCAATGACTTTATTCGCCAAATTAAGGTGCTCAGCTAACTGGGTGTGTGGAGGGCAACCTCTCTATAACATGGTCTCTTAGCATCGCAATTCTTCACTCAGGACTTCAGGAGGCCTTAGTTTTTGTTACTAATATCTGCAAGCCAATGTCGGGATCTGCTTTTATTCTGTACAGTTTTATTTTGGCTAATTGTAAAGGGCATATTTATGTTCTACCCGCCCTAAAGTGTATTTTTTGTTTAATTGTGCTATGTGCTTTTGATCATTGTATCTCCTACGTAATATTTGGACTGCTGCATCAGTCTAGTAATTGTGACTGTCACCTCTATTATTCAGTTCCCAGCCATCCTCATGTGATCCCTTTTCCTTTTCCCATTTAGGCAGGTTTCCATTTTATTCAAGTTCTGTTTTAAACAGGTTTTACTATATATATATCAGAATCAGAGATTTTGACTATTAAAATTGATCCTATTTGTATAAAAACAAAAACTGAGTTGTTAAGTATAGTATAAAACATTTTATAAATTACAAAACAGAATTACTTTTGTTCCTTTAAAAGAACTGAAATTTTATATAGATGTACTCACCCATTCTTGATCTAAAACCGGTATCGTAGAAAAGCGACAAATAAGGAGAAATTCGACCCCAAGTTGGAAGCGGGGGACCGTTACCCGAGAGAATAGTTGGCAGTGGAGGTGATCTTGGTCTTTCTCTGGAAGGAGGAGGTGTTAGGGATTCTTCAGGAGACGACGGTTCAATCTGAACTTCTGGAATGATTAGATTTCTTCTTCCCTGTCTTAAATTTGGTGAATTAATTTTTTTATGATGTGTGGATGATTGTCTGTTAAAATTATTTTGATGTCTATCACTAATTTCATCCGAAGAAGAATCCGACGAATCTTCGGGCAGCACCGATGGAGTAGTAGACGAATTCTCTACGAAACTGTTTCTTTGAGATTCCTGCATTTTCGAAGTATTATTTAAAAATAAACTTACACCTGAGGTTGAAGGAAGTGATATATCTGAATTAAAGTCTATATTATTGGAACCTTCCTTATTAAGATTTTCAGAATTATTTTGTAGTTTGTTAATTACAGATTTAGACTGATTATTAATTGGTTCAAAACTACTAGTTTTCATATTATTTGATATAATATTTTCACTAGATATACATTTCTTATTTTCTTGAGGTGAAGTAGTAGTTTCTGTCATCACTGACGAATTTTCAGAACTTTGGTTTGACTGACAATTTTTCTTGTTAGTTAAATTTAGGACTCTATTAAATTCATAGGTTTGACTTTCACTTTCACAAGAATTATCAAACGACGACTGAGTTGACATAAATACTCTATTATTTAATACATCTGAGTTATTTCTATTGGAATCATTAGAAATTACCGATTCTGCATTCTGAGGATAAGCAGAAAAACCCGATTGAGGCTGTATGGGAGGAGGATTTGCAGTTGCCGAAACATGCAAATGGGTAAGCCTGTAATCTGCGGCAAGTATCCTCTGCATTTGACGAGTTAACTGTAAACTCATTTCTGAAAAGAAATAAAAGAAAATTTTCTGTGTAATTTGTTCTATTATAAAAAATATAAAAAAACAAAAGCAGTTAACTTTTAATAATCTAAGAAACTGAATTTGTATACTTTAATTTAAAATATACATTGCATTCAGTAATGTTTAAATTATATACATAATAGTTTGTATACAGTTTATAACTATGTAAAATAGGTAGGTCCATACATAGGAAAACTTAAAAGTTAGTTAACTAAGACATATTTTAACAGATAAGGCCTGTTTAGAACAGCTGAATTTTTCTTATTCATAAATCAGTCACTTCCAATGAAGCAGTTATATTCCATTTAACTTTTAAGCCACTTTATTATATTCATATTTATTATACAAACACATATATTTTCTATATTTAAATACCAAACAAAGAATGTTTACATATGAATGTTATAGAGCATATTTATTTTAACATTTATCCACATATTAAAGAGATTGTCTAGCACTGTATCAGTCTATGCATGTGATGATAATATATTCATGGCGTTGCATGTCATTCAAGTATGTAGGCTTTTTTTTCCAAGCTCCGATGGTCCATAAAAAAAAGACAAGTGTAAATAACAAAATGAATTTATTACCAAAAGTTAGGTACAAAATTGGTTACTTTTCAACATAATCACTGTGAAGATTGAGGCATTTATCATATCTGTGGATGAACTTTTCCATCCCCTTGTCATAGAATTTTGCCACCAATAACTTGAGATGGGCCTTAACGTTTTTTTTTTTTTGAAGATCATCATTAATCTCGAGCCTCTGCCCCCTAGCCACTTTTCCTGTTCAGGAAAGAGGTGGAAGTCGTTCGGCACTAAATTGGAGCTATATGCTGGGTGTTTAAAGATGGTGAAGACTTCCACCCAGCTTAAAACTTTTTAATGTGTGAAGACTTTCACCATTTTCCTGAACTGAAAATGTGGCCAGCAGAGCAGAGGTTTGAGACTAATGACAATCTTCAAAACAACATTGTTAAGGTCATCTCAATTGACTGGCGGCAACATTCTATAACAAGGAAATAGAAAAGCTTGTCCACAGATATGACAAATTCCTCTTTCTTCATGGTGATTATGTTGAAAAGTAATAATTTTTGTACCTAACTTTTGGTAATAAATTCATTTTGTTATTTACACTTGTCTTTTTTTTTATGGACCATTGGAGCTTAAAAAAAACGCCCTCGTATATGCTCATGTAGTATATGCCATTGATGATAAAGCAATATTTAGAGAAAAATAAATTAATTCATCCAAAAAAAATTGTATAAATCATGCATTAGCTCCGAGGCTAGTGTTGGACCAAATATTTGGCATTATTCAATACTCAACAGAATACTAAACAAACACATTTGATATTCAGACCGAATACTTCTCAAAGCTAAATCATCTCATCATTTTAGAAAGAGGAGGAGAGAAAAAAGGAAGGTAAAACACAAAATAGTATAAAAATAACATTTAAAATCTTAGATATTTGAAAATATTGTTATTTATTCCTTCCTAAAACAAATATAACTTTAAGAAATGAGCTTGAGTTAATATGATTTAATAATAATCACAATCCTAGAGCAATAAATTGTATTGAAGAATGCTTCTACATTCATTGGAAGCAAGCAAGTTTGTTATTAAATAAGCAAAAAACATTTGCCTTGACATTCATGGGTCAGATGATGATTGATGATGATTGATGATGCATAGCCCTGGCAAATTTTGTGAGCAAATTATGAGACTCATTTTTATTTCCATAGTTATGTGAATACCCAACTGCCATATTTGGGTGACAAAAATCCACACACTCACCAACAATGACATGGTTACAGCATGGTAGTTTCACAGCATCCTTCATCATTTTGAAGAAAACTCTGCATCTGGAACAAGTGATGTATTCTGTTGACGTTGCTTAATACAGATATATGCTAAAAAAAACTTTGTTATTCCAGCATTGCAGCAGAGAAACTGTCTAAATGTCACAATCTTTATCCAAGATGGTGTACTCTACATATCAGCTTAATAACCAATCACTCCAATGTCATGGCCATCACAATCACCAGATCAGAATCCCTGTGACTTTTGGTTATGGGGCTATCAAGAGCATCACTTATTTAGGAAATTTTTCCAACCTAGCTGTCTTAAAAAAAAAAAACAATTTTACAAGATGTCCAACAAATCCACACAAGCCAACTGCATTCTGCCATTGAGTGTACTGTGCACTGAATGCACTTTTTAAAGCATGTAGATGGAGGACATTAGAGCCATCATTTGATGTAATCATCATTTCATATTCCACATCTGTAATTGAAATAAAGTTATTGCACTATGATTAACTTCTGGAATTTATTAGAAAACATAAGTAATGTGACAGAAGCCCCAAGTTTTGCACTAGAGGCTGAATTTTAAAGTAAAATTTTTTCCCGAAAATCAAAACCACAGAACAGTATATATAATAAATTTGGTTGAGATTTTTGCCAATAGTTCTTTCTACAGAGAGCTCTGAACATCTACTCTTTAATTAGATCATCTGGTATCAAAAATTTTCTAACAAGTGAAGAAAGAATAATTGTTAAAAAAAGTCAACTAATTATATCAACTCCAACTGACAAATAACTGAGAAACAAAATATATTATTTCAAATCAGCTAAAGACTAACATAATTTGGGCTTTCACGAAATCTAAATTCCATGTAGCAACTTACCATTTTATGCGATTTAATTTTTTAAACAGATGTTTTAAATCTGCTAGTTTGACCATAAAATGTAATATCAGCAATAATCTAATTAAATAATTTCTTGAAACAAAAAATCTAATAATTTATTTTTATACTTTTCATTTTCTAATTACAAAGAGAATTAAAAATCTCATTCCCAAAGCATCGCCCAAAAAAGAATTACAGCCAAAAAGGCAAAGAAATAATAAAACTTTCAAATGAAAGATTTCAATTGGTTAAAAAATTATTATTATTAATCATAAATCTGGATGCATTATACATTAGTATTACCATTTATAATAATTCCTTATTTACCTTGAAACTGATAATTCAAGACTCCAAATATATTTGAATTGATTTCTAACAAAACCTGCATTGTTACCTTTTCTTGAAGCTTACAGACCAAATCCTCAGTTTCATGGTTATCTGCTTGATTATAATCATATCTTCCATTTTAACAAATACATGTTGAGTATGATTATGCTGTGAAAATGAGGAGATGGTTAGCTCACAAATGGATTCCAAAAATGATATTGCAACACCAATGTATACTTAAAGTAATCTCTATTTCTTCCACAATAAAATTGCTAAAACTAATATATATTTTATTTGTAAATACTATCAATAATTAACATGTATATTGTTCATTATTGTATTTAATGTTCCTGATAATTAACTATAAAAGATAAATTTTGTAAATGCTTCTCAATTATTTACTACTAGCATTAAAAAGAAAAATTGAGCAAGGGTACACAAATTCAAATATTGTTAATTATAACACACACTCATGTAAATATAATTATATAGCAATTATACAATCTTCATACTTACCAACTAGCCATAAACAATGTGCTAAATCCCATCTATGAGCAATAGAACTATCTTCACCACCTTGTACCATTCTTTCAGCAGCTGAAATAAAAAAAATGCTAATTTTTAATTTTAATTTCATAATTGTTAATAATTTTAATTTGTTGCAATTTACAAAAGCCAGAGAAAGGAAAATCCTCATTCTTATTTTGCAATTACATTTATAATTTTGATTCTATTCAAAACAGAATGTAATTTTTTTTTATTTTGTTAAAAAAATTATATCTAAACATTATTAAATGGTATAATCGAAAATAGAAAATAATTAAATAGTGAAATGTCACAAATGTACAATAAAATCAAATTGATCTAAAGTCATTAAAAATATGTGGATTACAGCAAAAATATCAGGGCTGCGGAGTTGCGTAAAAATCTACTGACTCCAACTCCGACTCTTCCTTATCATCCGACTCCGACTCCGGCTAAAACACCAAAACTCCACGACTCCGACTCAACAGCCCTGCCAGAGCTGTGGAAGTCGCGTAAAAGTCTACCGACTCCAACTCTGACTTTTCCCTACCATCCGACTCCGACTCCGGCTAAAACATCAAAACTCCACGACTCCGACTCCGAAGCCCTGAAAAATATGTATGTCTCATTTAACAGTTGTGTCAGGTCATATAAGTCACTCATCCACTACATAACTTGGTATGAGAGATTTATCTCTGCGAATAGTGTGGTTCTAACGAACTGCTTAAGAAGAGAGATTCATTGTTTAAAAACTTTGTACAGCCCTAACTATTTAAAATTCAGTTCATATTTGGTAATTGCATTCCATATTAATCTGTTTGACACTGATCTGTCAACTGTAAACAATACTTAATAGATTTAATAATCTTTGTAGTTGAATATAACAATTCACAATTATATGTGAGCTCTAATGTAGTGCTGCCATTGCCTGTTGTTAACGTCTTTAGTTTCTTATCCACAGCCTGGGCTTGCACTATCTGCTGAAAATCAATGGGTGAAGAAATGTTGATGGTATTAGCATCTGCTATCCATAACAATAATACATCTGCAGCAACAATGTTTTCAGTTCCCTTTATGGAGTCAAATGTCCATTATAATCTGGTCTATGTAGATGAAACCAAGCTAGCAATGGGATGCATTACAAATTTGTTGATGTTGTCGAAACCGTGTTGTATTTGCTTATTGTGTACAGGCACAATGAAGTGACGTTTTTCTCAACACTGGGCTAGTTGAATCTTTTATTTAGTTAGAACGTTTTTTCCATACATCAACGTTTCGGGCATCAGTTCCTCTTCAGCTAACTAAATATATATAAAAATATTTTACAGGACACAAATAAAAACCAAAAAACTCACATTAATTCTTAGTAAACCATACCTCACTTCAGCATGGACACTGCACACACAGCAGAAATCAGACTACACTTAGGTTTTTAACATTTTCAATATCAATTTTTTATCACAATTTTAACTTTACAGGTTAAAAACAAAACCTTTTCTACATTTTGTTATATAAACAAGATAAACTCTGCAGATTTTAAAAAACTAAAACTTACAAATTTCAAAAGTCTTTTTTTGCCACCTCGTCGACCAATCCGACAATTTGCATATAGCACTATGTGCCGTAAGTTACACTAGTTAACAAATTAATCGACAAACATTTGAAAATCCTTAAGGAAATTACAAAAATTTTTTAATTTTTTTATACAATAAATCACTATTTGTCTTAAAGTTTACTCTGTATATTTTCTTTTTATCTAATTTACATATGACGTTAATACAGAACATTGTTTCATTAAATAATTCGTTTTTTACCATTCTATTATTATAAATTGTAATAATCTAGTACATTTCATTATAATATTTTCAACCAATTGTTATGAATTTTAACACTTAAGTTTTTATTTATACAACCTTGGTTTTTGTTNGAAAATATTATAATGAAATGTACTAGATTATTACAATTTATAATAATAGAATGGTAAAAAACGAATTATTTAATGAAACAATGTTCTGTATTAACGTCATATGTAAATTAGATAAAAAGAAAATATACAGAGTAAACTTTAAGACAAATAGTGATTTATTGTATAAAAAAATTAAAAAATTTTTGTAATTTCCTTAAGGATTTTCAAATGTTTGTCGATTAATTTGTTAACTAGTGTAACTTACGGCACATAGTGCTATATGCAAATTGTCGGATTGGTCGACGAGGTGGCAAAAAAAGACTTTTGAAATTTGTAAGTTTTAGTTTTTTAAAATCTGCAGAGTTTATCTTGTTTATATAACAAAATGTAGAAAAGGTTTTGTTTTTAACCTGTAAAGTTAAAATTGTGATAAAAAATTGATATTGAAAATGTTAAAAACCTAAGTGTAGTCTGATTTCTGCTGTGTGTGCAGTGTCCATGCTGAAGTGAGGTATGGTTTACTAAGAATTTATGTGAGTTTTTTGGTTTTTATTTGTGTCCTGTAAAATATTTTTATATATATTTAGTTAGCTGAAGAGGGGCTGATGCCCGAAACGTTGCTGTATGGAAAAAACGTTCTAACTAAATAAAAGATTCAACTAGCCCAGTGTTGAGAAAAACGTCACTTCATTGTGCCTGTACACAATAATGCATTACAAAACCAAATCCCATGTAAAGGAATTTGAAGAGTCTGAACAAAGTTGTAAGGTAAACGCACTGGTAATGGACACTGCATACATACAAATCATTCAGTAGACAGAACTTCTGTTTACTGAATAATTTGTATGTTTGAACAGTGAAGCCATCTACAACCTTATTACTCATATTTGAAGTTCAAAGTGTCCACTACTCACACAGTGTCCACTACCTGTGCGTTTACCTTTATAGTAGTCTTCAGATCATCATCATCTTTTACTGGAATCTAATAGTAGGCTTTTTCAGTTTCAAGTGCTGAAAAATAAAATAAAATATTTGCCCTCTAACATCTGAGCACAATCTTGAATATGAGGAGTGAAATACCTGCAAGGAACTGTAATGGCATTGAGTTTCAGTCTCCATTCTTCTTGGAAACCATGTGCAGTGGGCTCAACAAGTTACTTTTTCACAGACGAGCGATCCAGATACCTTGTTAGACAAGTACGTCAAATTCTTGCTTGACTGCATTTGTCTGGTGGAAGATACATGAACTTGACAAAAAACAAGCGAGTCTCTAGTCTTGATGTAATGTACTACATCATGCTCGACTGGGACTAGGACAGTGTTGCTCTTTACTGCCAAAATACTAAGTTGATTAAGCTATTGCTGCCATGCCTTAACAGCAATACTTGTCAGCACATTGACCAAACGATTATGCTTGATGTCAAGAGTGGAAACCTGAAGTGCTGTAGAATATCTATGCCAGTGACAAGTTGGGAGATATCAGCTATAATAAATGGCCAGTGAGTGTTTCCATATGCCAAGATGCAAATATTTTGATAGCTGATCCATAGCTATAGTTTACTCAATGACTTGTACATTTCCCAGAGGAAATGTACAAGTCATATAGAGACATCATCTGCTTCACATCAATAAGAAATCTTTTGTTGGAGGTGTGGTGGTGTAAATACTTTGTATAATAAAGACTCTCTCTCCTATAACCAACTGGTTAGGAGATGAACTTGTCAGTTTTTGACAAGTTATAAGAATGGGGTTTGGTTCACTTTACAGCTTCTGCCTTGAATTTCTTATACAGCATCAATCAATATGCTTTTTGCTTTGTGTTATGAGTGAAAGTGCAAAGCACTCTGAGATTGATTTTACAAGTTAGTTCTGGTGTCTCTAGCCAACTTAAGTGTGTAGAAATGTTTGCAAGAATGTACTTGATTTCACCATACCAACTTGATGCAATGTTGATAGACATGGGTAGACTGCTGCTTCCATTAAACTACAGGCATTTAGATTAACTTGTCCAATTTGTCATCTGATATAGCTAAAATTTGTTGTATGTACAGTACAAGGGGAATCCAATATTAAAGGTACAAGCCAAAATTACACTAACATTTATAATTAAAGAAAATATTTAATACCATCCACAAAAATACACACTTTTGTTTATTTCTTTATATCTCCCATTATACTCTAAATGTGGAAAAGTAAAAATGCATGTTGCATTTTTACTTTTCCACATTTGATGAGAAAGATGAAATAGTCGCTGGATGTTGCCAGCCATAAGAGATCTCTCATTTTAAAACAGTACCACCTGCAATCTTATGCTATGTAACCATTACACCCAATAAGTTTTCTAGCATCTGTACACAAGATTTTGTGTCCATTTTTCTGGAACAGAAAACCACATTGCATTTTCATTTCTGTCAAATAGCAGACCAAATCATTATCTGATTTGCCACTCATTTGCCACTTGGACAACACTCATTCTCAAATCATGCCAGTAGCAACTGAATTTGTCTGGACAATACAAATTCAGCCTTTTTTCATCTAAGGTCACATCTTTATACTTTTCTGTCCACATCATCATTCTTTTGTGGAATGACTGGCATGCCGCATATAAACAGGAAAGACCAGCATGTCAGTAACCCCAGGATAACCAGCACGCCGGTTAAACTATGATTAAAATATAGTAGTAGGTCAGTGTGGTCTACAATGACCTTCTACCCTGACCTTAAACCTTAAAAATAATACCTTCCTCTCAAATTTCACACAAAGTTGACGTTAATTGGTGTAAGCCCAGATAATTTATAGCAAGTTTCTTAAATTTAATGTTTATTTTTGCATTTTTGAATCAAATAATAATAAAATACACACAAAAGATGCACTTTCAGAATTCCACAAGTATTTTATGTCATTAGAAAGAAGACAAAATGAAGAAATTAAACATATAATCATAGTTTTCGATGTAATGTTTAAGTTTTAGAATAAAAACGCATTCTTTTTTTTTAATGTGCTCTCTAGAGATGGATGTATAACCTCACTTAAACTGGCATGCCAGTTTAACCATATAGAAATATCTGATTTCATGGTCTCCCCAGATAGACTGACATCCAGATAATTCTCAAAAATATGGTACAAACTCCAATCTCACCTTTTGCACTTGTCAGTCATATCAAACTACTTCATCTTGTATTTTAAATTTGATCATTTTTATAACACTCTTTGGCCAGTTTGAAGATCACCACTTCTATCCGATTCTTTCAAAATTTTAGAAACATCTAAAACTGTTACTGGCACAATGCAACATTTGCCTCTCTTGACAGTGGCTAAAAAATTTCTATCCTGTGATCTTTCCATAATCATTCTAATCTGCAAGAAAATTACTGATAACACTCACACTCCTTCAATCAATCCGCAATTCACATTTGGAATGTCTAACTTCATTCCAGGCTTTGATTTTGCCAATTTCTTCGAAGACAATTGAATAACTTTACCCATGTTGGACAGAAATGTCAAAAAATGATCAAAACTACTTTATCACAATATGCAAATGATTTGGGATTATATCACTACTTTGTAGGAGAAGTAAATAGATAAATAAAACATAAAAAGGAATAAAAATGAACCAAACATTAATGTTCATATTATTTTGATGCATCTATTCACACTTATCAGCGTCAGAAATGTTAAAAGCTATTTTGATAAGCATTTTGTAGTGGTCATTTCATTTAGAGTGTCTTTTTATTTTAAAAAAGAGATAGCATAGAAAATGTATATTTATATGTATAAATTATCAGTTTTTAAATGAAACAAATATATTAAACATTTTGATTAGTGTTTTTATTTATGCAAAATTTCATTGGGTAAACTGGCTTAGGAATTAGGTAACATTTATATAACAAAATAAGCCAGGTAATTATGTAATGTTTAAAATAAGTTCCTTTGTAACAACTAACTTTTATAAAAATGGTTCAAAACTTCTTATAAATGAACAGATAATGATTATTTAACAAAGAAATGGTCACTCTGTTTTTACCTATTTTATAATAGGTAAAAATAAAAAAATGTTTATCTTTAAATTTATTTAATATTTATTATTATTAGTTTAAATTGGTTACATAAATGATGAAACAATTAAATAAATGCAATTATAGAAAATAGAAATCAATTATATTCTTTAAAAACATCAAAATATTCATACCTTCATAAATTTGGTCTCTTAGATTTGTTAATCGTGCTCTATATCCACTCACATTTGTTAACCTTTCTAAAATTTCTGATATTCTAACATGAACCTTAAAATTTTTTCAGAGAAAATAACATATATAATTAAAAAAATCATTACATTTAATTTATGATAAATTTTTTTGAATGATTTTGCGTGTTAAAATGTTCAGAGATTTGTTTCTTAAAATAAATGATTTTTTTAGCTTTTCCGTCCTTTAAAGAAAGTACTTGTAAATTGTTGCATGGCTGAACAGTTTACTGAGTCATGTGGTATATATCACATTCGCGTTATTCATTCTCTAATTATAATACACGCGCACCTCGTTGCGAAATTTACTGGTGTTTGTTGAACAAACGCAAAATCGTGCTTTCGATAAATGATATCTTTCAAAACAAAGTTTCAAGAAATGTGTCTAATCAAAATACGTAAAATGTGACTTGTCGCCTACATCCGAACTATGAACCTTTGAGACTGGGGTCGGAGTTTCTCAATTAAACAGTTACCGATGTTTCATGGAGATGAAAGGTCGACCTTGCTGCTGTTATTGGCTCAAAAAATGGTATGTGAAAGTATTTAAAAAAAACTGATGTTTTCATCTATTCGAATATTATTAATGTTCTCTTTTTAATTGGTCTGGTTAGTAATATTAATAGTTACGTCAGCCGCAGACTACTTAGAATAAATGGTGTGGATAATATCTGTAGATGACGTGCGCTCCTTTTTTTTTCTTTTTTTAAATCCTAAAAATACCAAATATAACACGCGATTCGGCAGTCAATACAAATTTCTACTNTCGGAACGCAAAAAAGGTTGGATTATCAGAAAAAAGTAAAATAAACAATCTTCCCCTTTGTCCAGTCTTTGTAGCACTGCTAATTTTTCATTTAACTTAATGTAACTATAAAAAAAAAAAGTGAAAATAAAGAAAAGTATAATTTATTTTGGAACAAATGTAAGTTACCTGCTGAATTTGTTCTTGTGCAAAAGCATTTGTAAAAGCTGCATTATTTAAATTCTGTAAAGAATACTGCAATCTAGTCAAAAGACTGACTAAAGAGATCGACACATCTTGGGTTTCTTCCCAATAATTAATCCTTCCTTCTTCAGTAGAAAACCTAATTTAAAAATTTTAATCTTAATAATAGTATAACATTATGTATGTTTATATATGTGCACAACTCTTAATGATTAATAATTTCAATGACCAATTAATCAAAACACCAGCATATTGAAAGTATGTCATAATTATGCCCATTATGGATGTGCCCAACCTGTAATGGAATTGACCATTATGTAAGAAAGACATAGATCATTCCTTTTAATAATTAACTTTCTAAAACTTGTCTTTAATATTCCGAGATCAATGTACTATTCAATACACATTTTCTCGTTCTGTTCAAAGACTAATTATTTTAAAAATACGAATTATCATTGTTAAGAGTTCATAAAATTTTCTATATTCAAACACACAACTACATGAAATAAAGATAAATTAACTAGATTATTAAAATTGAAATTTTGTTTTGTTTCTTGAATTATATTTGTAATAGATTTAATTGACTACTTTAAAATAATTGATCTTAATGAACTGTACACTCTAATATAGTTTAACATTGCAGTTTGATCCTTAAATTTAAATTCTAATTATCCATTCAAAAATCTTGTCTCATTTTAAAATACAAATACAGTACTATGATAATTTCAAACAAGGAATAACCAGCTAAATCATATGGCAATTAAGAATAACTTTTTAAAATTATTATTAAATTTACATAGTTTCATATTCCAAAATCAAATAAAGAAATGTGATATGTACTTTACCCACAAAATGAAGCTGTAATTTAATATAAAATTATATGCAGAAAATAATTACAACAATGATCCTAGATAATTTTAGTCTTCTAAATCTTATAATTTCTAAGAAATTTTTGACTATTAAATGAATGTATACAAAGTAAATGTAAAAGTAAAAAAAATCCAGCAATGAGTTGCTTAACTTTCACAGCAACATTTGATGGCACCACCTATTATCATATTTTATGAAAAAACTTTTTATATTTTTAACTAATATAAAATGGCAAAAGGCTTAATTTTGAGGGTAGGGATGGGTTTTATAAAAAGTTTTAAATGCTAATAACAAGTAAAATCTTCATTAAGTCTGACCTTACTGGAAGACAGACTTAATGAAGGTCAAGGAGATGGGGAGATAATGGGGGTTGCGTGATGTATGTGTGAACTGTGTGTGATAAGCCCTAAAATATAAATTACAACAGTCTTTGTTTATGTAAGAATATGTTGAATAATGTAATTTTATAGTTTGCTTAGGACTGACTTCAACCCCATTTTTAGGAAGAAACTTGAACACATCTTGAATAAATTTATAATAGTATAGAAAACTAGCTAGATTGAAAAATCTTTGCTAAATTGCCAAATAGCTTAAAATATTCCAAAATCTAGCAATAAATCATCAAATTTGGCAACACTGTTCACACATTGTCAATCATTATGCCGCATCCTTATCAAGTTGTCATCCTCCAAAAGTGACAACAATCGCAAGTCATGTGACCATCAGTGGCAAATTGCATGGGGAGAGGATGCTTTGTCTACTGTAGGTTAGTTTTTAAGTGCAATATGGCCATCACCATGGTGAAATGCCTACCAACAATGTGAAAAATGCGCATCAAAAAATAAAATCAGGGTATTGGTTTGTAAAACGAACCAATTCTAATATGCCAATATATCAATACCAGATCAGAATTTGTCATATTTCTAGTAAAAAGTTAAATATAGTATATGTCATACCTTGCTAATCTTGAAGCAACTTCTTCTCTTCCCGCTTCCACTGATCCAGCTGCCACTATATCACTGTTAGAGATAACTCCAGACTCAACCCAATTTTGGACTCTCTGTTGTTGTTGCACGTGCCTTTCTAGATGATAACATACAGTTCTTAACCGATGGAAAGCGGTCCAAAAATCGCTGGAATGATTTTCTTCCTCGAGTGAATATTCTCTATTTTGAGTCTGATTTTCAGAATCGGAAATAGTATTAGTATTAACTGTTTGATATCCCGACGTACTTGGTTGAGAATCATTTTGAGGTATAGAAAGCACCTATATAAATATATTATAATTAATTACCACATAAAATTTTAAATTATAAACTTCATTAATTATTAAAAAAATTAATTAATTAGTTAATTTTAAAATCTTATAAACGTTTCAACCATTTCAAGTCAAAAGTCAAAAATTATATTATTTTTATATTTTGAGAATGCTCATGTCGTGTTAGACAGTCACAATCTGTAATTTAATTTATCACTTTAAATTGTACAGTATATACAGTGTAGTGCCTTCTTGCAATAACATTCTCTTGATATATTCAATTAACATCAAACTGTGTTATTTTACAAAGTGTGTGTAGCTCTTTTATATGATAGCAGTAAAATCAGACAATTTATGGTTACCTGCATTACAATGCCAATAGAATTTTTCAATAACATATGCAACTGTTTTAATCATTCAAATAATTTTCTTATTCTCATTTATTATACAAGCTATAATTTCATATGCTTAAGAGCAAGATTCTCAAATGTGGCTACCAGGTCAATTTTATGAAATCCTGCAATCCTGGAACCAATTTTTCAACTTTTTACTCACCGAGTTATCATCAAAATAGTCACCATTTTGGACAGTCTTCAACTAAAGTTTATTTTGGATAATAAAATCCTAAATATTACAGAAGGTACATGCTGTTGCAAGAGATCTTTATTGTATTTTCACACAGATCACAAGGCATAACCACACTTGTGGTCACAGTAAAATGTTTCTAGTAATCCCTTGGTCCAAAATATGTTAACTATGTTTTGATATTTACAAAATATAAATATATTGAAAAGTTTTATAAGTGTAGGAGTATTAATTATGTATTTTTTATTGTATTATTAAATTTTTGGATTACAGTAGAACCCCTCTAATCCGTCACCTTTGGGACTGGGGGTATGGTCGGAACGCAAAAAAGGTTGGATTATCAGAAAAAAGTAAAATAAACAATCTTCCCCTTTGTCCAGTCTTTGTAGCACTGCTAATTTTTCATTTAATGAAAGAGTAACGTGTTTACGTTTCACTCCTGACATGTTGAAAACACACACAAAACTGTACATGTACTGTACACACAATGTAAAACATATACTGTAACGAACACAGAAAAACGCTACGGACGGTGAGTCACCGACAAGTCGGGACAAGTTTCTCGACTCCGACCACGGTCAGATTAACCGGAGTGACGGACTAGCCGAGGGCGGACTAGAGGGGTTCTACTGTAATTCTTTTGAGTCAACAATTGGCATATTAATTTCTAATAATATCATTTACTAAATTTTATACGCAGTTCTTTTAAAAATATTTTTATGAATAAACAGCAACTTTGTTTTAAATTATATTTTTGGTTTTGATAAAGTAAGATCTAATTTTTCAGCTTCTTAGCAGATACTCGTGTTATAAAACTTGGCACAGTTAAGGAAAGGCTAAAAAAATAATAATAATAATTATGATTATCACCACCTACATTCAATATGAAAAATACACATTTATATATACAGTACACAACAGAAAAATCAAAACAAATATTTCAAAATATTCTCTAGTTCTCAAGTACAAAAAAATTGACTTATACTTTTATCATAAATGATTTAAAACAGAATACTAGAAGCAAATTTTTTTTTTGTGATATTTTAGAGTATATTTCATTAATTACAATAATTGAACTAATGATTTTTTGTTTAACTTCCCTCCTGTTGAAAATGAAACAACTTGCACAACAAATTTGTTGGTAAAAGTTTTATTACTGAACAAATAAATGATAAAACATTTCTTAATACTATGCAAAGACTAAATCTGCAATCTTTTTGTCACTTTGACTATAAAAATTATTCCCTATCTTTCAGCTATGCTTGCCAATTTGCCTTGTTACACTTTTCAATAGTTGAAATTAAGACAGGCAATGCAGCCTTATCAGATGCTGAAAACTTCAAAATATCAAAACCAATCAAAAATTTTAAAAATACTTTTTATACTAATTTTTTTTTTATAATTATTCTTCTTGCCCATTGGACACTAAAGAGTCTCTCTTAAATATTAATTACAAATTTAGTGCAGCCCACAACAAAGCAGTTCAGGTATTTGAGTAGTGAAAGAGAGATGACATGTCTAGGACATATCATCCTGAAAAATTTCCAAGGTTCTCACCCAGATTCTCAGAACATTATGCATACACCTTAGCCATCTATGCATGTGACCATCTTTTATCCATACTTATTAGCTCAAATGCAATTATTAAAAGTAGAAATTCATTAAACTGGCAGCTACAGGACCATAATCATCATTAAGTCTGACCTTATGTGAGACGACACACGACTATACCTCTATTTTCCCACTAACTTGACCTTTAACCACAAAAATTTAATAGCATCAATCCTCCAATATACTAACCTCCCTGAAAAATTTCAAAAAAAATTTCAACAAAAAGCACAGGAGTTATTAAGCTTCAAACAGGGTAAAGAAAATCATGCTCCCCCTACACATCCATATATACAATAAAAACTCCTGAATTTTTTTTGCACTTCTCAATGTTTTTTTGAAATTTTGCAGGGAGGTTTGTATATTGAAAGATTGATGCTATTAAATTTTGGTGGTTAAAGGTCAAGGGAGTGGGGAAATAGAGGGATAGTCATGTGTTGTCTCACATAAGGTCAGACTTAATGATGATTTTATAGTAGAGCGTCGTTTATCCGAAAGCTGGTTATCTGAAACATCCGTTATCCGAAAGCATTCCAGTTGGCAAATTTAAATTTTCGCTAGTGCTGTGGCGCTGCAATCTTCGGCTATTTCTCGGGCTACTCAAATATTTTACGTTTTTGATACTAAATTAACATCTGAAGTATAATTTTTTATTGTTTTTATATTTTTCAATAAATTTATTTTGTTTGTACAAAATAAAAAAATAATTTTTAACGATACAATATTCTTCGTTAGGCTCAACATTGACGAAAATTCAACGCAAAGCGACATGCAACGAAGAGAAATTTCAACATGGGATAAATTAATATATTTTTTCGTACATGATTCGTTATCCGAACCACCCCAGTCTCCAATTGATTCGGATAAACAACGCTCTACTGTACTTGTTACTAGTATTCTTGGAATCTAGAGTTAAACAGACTCAAGTCCAAAAATATAAAATCTTGAGGGGGGATAATTTTTTGACCAATCACCATACTTCCTCTGTTATATATAACAGAGCCAGGAAAGTAATCATCATTAAGCAATTCTGCATTATAGGCTACTTTTCAAAGGGAACCAGGTTTCTGGTTTCTGTATTACTAAGTGTCAGACTAAGAAACTTCTACTGTATTTCTACTGTATGTAAAGTTTGAATTTATACCACATATTAACAGAATTTCAATAAATAATTCCTTTTATTTTTAAATTATTTTTTTGCCATAAACATAAGACATATAATAAAACATAAGACATTATAATGCATCTATAACATGGTGATTATTATTGACATTTGGATATAATCTCAGTTTACAAAAACTTAAATTTGGTATAATATATTAGAATCTATGCTATCCTTTTTAACTATACTATTTTTAAGATAAAATTATATATAAACTAAAAATCCCCATCAAGCATGATGAAATACTTTTTATGAGAAAGTAGAGATTGAAGAATTGAGAAGAGTAGAAATTTCAGGGAAGAGTTGTTAATATTTCCACAAATTAAGTTGTTTATACTATCTGTTGTAACATAAAGAGCAACAAAACAAAACTTCACCTGGAGTGGACAAAAAAAAAGTAGGAGTTATAGAGAATTCACTTACGTATACATAAACAGATTTAGGCCTTTATATTAAAATAATATTAAAATCTTTCTTCATAAAATATCTTTATACACTAGATTGTGAGTAAACACTATTGTCTTTTAAATGAAAGCATTTCCTTGCCATCTTCCTTTAGTAATAGATATTTTAAGATTGTTTTGATGATTGACATTGTGATGCTGTTTCTGCAGCCTTTGACAAAGCCATTTCTTAATTCCATGTTGATAAAGTGTATGTACATTAGTTAGATGATCGATAACATTTTCTAAATAATGGGCTTGTTAGATTGTTACTTCTGATTGGATAATACAATGTCACATGGTCACTATGGAAAGATTTTTTAAAAAATTTGTTATAGAAGTGACGTGATGAGGCCATCTTTTTATTAATTTTAAAATATGCCATTTGCCAAAATATTTAAAAATGAAACTTAAGGAAAATTTCCTCATCAAATATGAACGTCGCTGCAACATAAGTGCATTCACCAATCTAAAATTGATAAAACACATATTCTGTAACTAATATTAAATGAATATAACCAAACTTTCTTCTGGATTGGACAAAAATTACAGGAGTTATAAGAAATTCACACACACACACAGCTTTTATATTAGTAATACGTCAATCTTTTATATTTAGTGCATATATTTTTGACTTATTATTGACTCTGCAAATCAGGAGGGACAAGTCTTTTCAGAAAGATATGAAAAATGTGAAAATGTATTTTAAAAAATTGATATTTGGTAAACTTTAAAGACTAAAACTAATATTAAACAATGAAGCAAATTATTATTATTTAAATTAATTGAAAACACAATGATAATTTATGATATATAGATTGAAATATATACAAACTGATGTCAACTTAAAGAATTTTTAAAAAGCCATCTTACACAACTTACTTTGAAATTACGCTATTTTAGATTAATAATGAAATTAACAAAATAAAAAGAAAAATTATTTATTGATTTTTACTATTCTTCATTATATATTTTCTTACTAAATTTACCTGTTCCGAATTGTGTGTAGCGTTTGCTGCTTGTTGGTTCTGAGCAGTAATTTCTTGAACATAATCCCTGGCTTGATTTAATGCATCTTCGTGAATTGGTGAAAATGCAAATGTTCTATTTTCTTGTAAATGAGATATCTAAGAAACAAAAAATTTATTTTATACATTTTATAAAATTATGAATATTAATGCAATAATTTAATATTTTTACTAATAATTTTTAATTAAAAATAGTATACATTCTAGATTAGGAGTGAGTAATCTTTGGTACATGTGCTAAAGCTGACACACCAATTACTTTTTTCTGACACACAACATAGGGCTCACCTTAAAAAATAAATATACACCTCTTTTTATATATTTTTTCACATTCAATAATTAATATTGGTTTCTAGAGTGTGTATACATGTGAATTTTTGATTATTTGAAAAGGTTGTTTCAATACTTAATAGTATAGAACCTTTTATTAATGAAATATACAATAAGTTATTTACACGAGATCATAAACAGTTTATAATTTATATTAATTCTTTTATAACAATAAATAAATTACAATATCTATATCAAAAATATTTACAAATCATACATACCTCCTCCAAACCTTCTAGATGACGATACATAGACATCAGACGAGACAAAATATTACGACGTTGTGAAAGAATACCACGTGTAGCAGGTAAACAAGAAACTTCCTGACCACCCACAGAATCAAATGCACGATTACGAAAAGGATCAGTCGGTAAATTGGATATTCCGGTGATGAGTTTATTCCCCAAAGGATCAAATTTTACAAATCTTTAATTAAAAAACTATTTGTTAGGAGACTTTTACATGAAAATAAATTAATAATTCTAAACAGTTTCATGAGTTTTTATAAGTTTATGAAAAAAATTAAAAATTTAATTCCAAATACATTTTTATATATCATAATATAAGAAAGAATGCTGGATTAATTCTAGTGACAAAATTACAAGACTTTAAACTGTTTAAAACAGTGGGAATAGGCATCAAATATTTGTATTGAAAATTTATGTATAATATATTGTCTTATTGAACAATATTACAAACATTGATTTTTCCTAAAATTTCAGTTATTCATTGTGCAATTGATATTTAAATCAATCGTGTGATGAATAACTAAAATCTCAAGAAAAACCAATGTTTGTAATTTTCAAAATTTTTCTCACTATATAATTTTTAACAATTAGTTTTATTCTTAGTTGATAAAGTGAAAAAACAACTGAAGTTAACAAAAGGTGAAAGTTTGGAGATTTAAACAACGTCAATGCATATCATGAGTTATTTTGATTAAATTATATCAGCGATTCCCAACCTGCGGTACGCGTACCCCTAGGGGTACGCGATAGGTTGTTTAGGGGTACAGAAAAAAGTTAGTTATTATGGCAGAAAAAATAATATATTATGTATCACAAACTAATAGTATTAAAAAATTATTAGATAAATAATGTTCCTTGCAACAATCACAACTTTATTATACATTTTTTCTTTTAGGTTTTTTTTCTTTAATTTAAAGTTACAATATGTAAAATTAACAATACGGTTACTCACTAAATTTCTTAAATGAGGGGTACAATCTAGAGATATGACATGTCACGGGGTACAATCTAGAGATATGACATGTCACGGGGTACGCTAATGAAAAAAGGTTGGGAACCACTGAATTATATTAAAAAAGCAGACTTTTCAATCCACTATAATCTAATCTAATAAACAAAATTACTGTAGAAATAATATAAAATTTTTTATAAAACTACTTAAAAATACAAGAAATAAGTTATCTTAAATTCGATCTTATTCAATACACAATATTCTCTAAAAACTTGAATATGATCTTAATCTGTGGTAGATATCTCTTTAACAAAACATTTTTTTCATTAACTAGCAAATTAATATTCAAATGACCTTTAACTTCATTTCTTATGAATGAGTTTAATTATAATCTAAGAAACAACAAATAACTTGTATTATTAAAAATATTTATTTGAAAAAATATGAAAAGTCACATTAATGTTTGTATGCCTTTAAAAAATATATTTATTTATATGCATTTTTTTTAGAAATACATCTTAATTTTAGCTATTTTTTTTGGTCTAGTTTCAATTAAACACATCTGTAAAAATATACAAATTTAAAATAATCTTGTGTAACAATTTACAAATTTTTATAATAAAATTTTCATCAATTTCTGAAAAACTAACTAATTTAATTTTTCTCAAATATATGTTATACTTTTATATGACTTGATGGGATTTAATGGAATCATTCTTTTCCTTTACATGCTCATATAATAATAATCATCTCAGTAACTTGTTATCTTATATATATATCAAAATAAACTTATAAATAACTTAGGGAAGTCAGGTAAATGTTTTCAAAACTTGATAACCTTCAGCCATAGATTTTTCTGCTTTTTTAAAATGATGCATTCCAAACAATCTTTCCAAATCAATATAACATAAATAATATTGTTCTGAGTTTTGAATGTTTAAAATGTGTTATTTTAATTAGCTTTTCTTTCTTCAAAGAAAGAATGACTCAAAGCTAAAGCTAATAAAACTTTGAAAATGTCTATTAAAAATTTTTAAAAAAATAACTTAATATCAGATGCAAGTTTCATTTGATTTATTTAATATTAAGTTAGATCATCATCGTTATAAAATAATAAAGAATTATTTTAGAACTATTTGAAATTTACTCACCTTACTTTTTCTTTATCAGAAGCAGTTTTACATATTGCAAATGGTTTGGAATGACTCCAGTCCCAAAAATGAATTTCATTAAAGGTAGCAATTACTAAAACTTTGTCTAATGGGTGAAAAGCAAGAGAAGTAATAACTGCACTGTGTTCTGTAACCCAAACTTCACTTCCTCCCTAACAAATATAAATTTATATGAAATTAAATTTTATAAATTTATATATTATTTAGATGTTGTAAATATTATAATTTATTTATTTTTATGAATGAGACAACTCATTTTATGAAACTATTCATTCAATGTTTGTTTTCTAGAAACTATTTACAGTTAAAAAAAACAGAAAGCTATTAAATATTTCAAATAAAAAATAACTTGCTAATTAAATTAACACTTACATGCAGATCCCAAACTCTTACTTCTCCTCCTAAACAACCAGATGCTAAAATGTCATTAGATGAAGGATGAAAAGCAACACACCAAGGAGTTCTTGGATGTCCAACTAATGTATGCAACAAAGTACCTTTTCTTACATCACAAACATATATTTTATGATCGCCATGTGTCGATGCAACTTTAGACCTAAACAAATAATTTTAAACTCTCAAATACACATGTTTCAGATATTAAAATAAAAAATTAATTTTCAATATAATTTATAATATCAAATCTTACTAACCCATCAGAACTAAATGCCATAAGGAATGTTGATCTTACTGAACTGGGTAGCTTACAATGCTATGAAAACACAAATAAATTTTCAAATACCATTTTTTTTTTTTAATTTCTTAAACAATAAAACACATAAATAAATTATTATCTGTATATAATTTATATTAACATATATTAAAGAAAACTTCTTTTATTCTTTCTTAACACAGATATTTATTAAATTACTATAAAACTTTTTCTCATTTATATATCATAGAATCCCTTTTAGATTTGCCTACACTGATGATAATCAACAAATGACATTAAAAGGATAAGTAAACGAGACTACAAAAAATGGAAATTCTGATTTTATTGACTAATGCTAAAAGCACAAGTTAAAATAAAAGTTGTATAATCTGAAGATTTATTAATAAATAGTAATTCATTCAGCATAGAATTGAAGTAATAAATGTCGGCAATTTTAAAATTGTAGTGCAAGCAAAAACAAAGAAAACAATTTCAACTTTTGAATCACTGGTTGAGACTGATAATGACAACTTGTTATCAGTCTCAATACATAACTGTTTATTTATGTGAAGATAATAACTATAACTGAAATTCTGATTATAACAAGCAAGATTTTATAAATGTATTTTACATTTACATTTTAGAACTTGATACTGTTAATATTAGATGACTGATATTTATGACTACAAGTACCATCTATTATGAATACTTTTCTTATCTCTTAGTAAAAGCAATTTTCCAAAGTTACATATCAAGAGTTCTTTTTAGTTCCAAAAACATATCCTTAATATTTGTAATCAATTTAGAATCAAAGAAATTTATTTTTTTACATAAAAAGCCTCATCCTTAATGGAAAGAATAAATCTCTAAGAGTATATTTGTAAAGTGAAACAAGTTAATGAATTACTAAGATGATGATCATACAGTATTAGTTCACCTAAATGCACATGCTGTATAATAAATAATGTAGTTTCAAATGAAACTAATGAAATTAATGAAAGAAAGAGTTATTTCACATCAGGAAGAAAATAGCATCCAGCAATACAGATATTTCTCAATTCACTTGAATTTAATACGCAATTCACATTGTGTATTAAAAAGTGAAATGACAAGAAAAATTGTGCATATGAAACAATTAAAATATTTTAGATAAGATCATGCTAGCGACATTCACAATCTCAACTTTAGAAATAGACACTTAGTTGTAAACAAACTGTCAAAATGTCAGCAAAAATTAGATTAATAATGATATTTAATCATTCTCATTTAATTTATTCCATTTTACAAACATGCCTTAATTCTACAAAAGATGTGGTTTTTAAAATTCAAAAAACTTGATAGGAAATGATAGCCAGTAAACAACAACTCCATGTCTGTTCTTAAACACAGCACGCAAAGTCTAATAACCTTACTTTCTGAAACATTCTTGGGAGACATTCCTCTAATCTTCAGCAGAATCAAACAACTGTTCAAGATGGGAGGAATGCCTCCCAAGAATGCTTAGACTTCTTGAATGAAGTTTGTGTTGTGTGTTTGTTGATAAGAAATAATAATGATATATATATTATTGTTCTGAGTTTTGAATGTTTAAAATGTGTTATTTTAATTAGCTTTTCTTTCTTCAAAGAAAGAATGACTCAAAGCTAAAGCTAATAAAACT